TCCTCGTTCCAGATCTCGAATGCCACCTGCAGCAAGTCGGCGTCTAGGAAGAAGGACGTGGTCCACAAAGAACTTCGCAAGATGCTGGCGGGGAACAGAAGGTTCTCGGCAATATCTGCATGGAAGACATTGACCGTTTCAATGGCCGATGGCTTAGAGTCGTAGAACTTGTCGACGACAGGAGGGTGGGTGTTATTGTCAAACGTCTTCTGGTGCACTAAGATCGCGACGCCAACAGGAGCTCCATTCGCTTGTGCGTTCCAGGACAAAACCGCCGCGTTGCTAAGATCTTTAGGGGACTGAATTGTACCCCAGTCCGCGAAAGCCGCGTTGGCCGTGACGTTCTCAGCGGCGTTGTAACGGAGCTTCGCGTACCACATCTTGTCCTGCGGGAATGTGTTGAACTTGAACTTGGTGACAACACCGAAGTTACTGCCACCTCCTCGAAGGGCCCAGTAGAGGTCAGGGTTTGATGTTGTTGATGCGGTCACAATCTCGCCGCTGGCCACGACAACCTCAAACTCGATCACGTTGTCGCAAGTCCATCCGTAGCGGTTACTGAGCCAAGAGACTCCACCTAAATCCGCATAAGCAAGGTACTTACTCAGGGACGTCGGGCCAAAGACTTGGATGCGGAGGTTGACTTACCACCAAGAGTGAGCCCACCGACACCCACTCCAAACATCCGACCGCCAGGGATAGTCACACCAGAACTTTGGAGATTCTCGTATGTGGAGGCCCAAGTGTTTCCAGGCTCCACGATAACCGAGCCCTTGTCTTCGCTCAGTGTGATTCCGTTGAGCCGGACCAGGTCAATCATGAGACCTCCCTCAATCGTCGAAGCTGTGTACGAGTAGTGGCCTCCGCTTTTAACTGCGAACTGACAGCCTGTGTTTTGGATACCTTTAAGGGCGACCGAAACCTCAGTGGCACTGACAGGTCGAAAGAAGCAGAAGGGAGATACGTCGCCCTGAATTGTCGACCAGAAGCCTTCTCGGGACGCCACATAGTCTGTATCGTTGGTTGCGCCTAGATAGACCTGATTGGGGAAGTGAGTCGCGAGGGTTTCACACTGTCACTTCGGTCAGTATATACTTTCCCGACTCAAGCGTCCTCGGGATTTTTGACTTACTGCGACAGCGCAACCGTTGTAGCTGCCGGTAGCACCCGGAGAGCTGGCGGCTAACTTGGACGTTGCTCCAAGAAGTAGGAAGGAAAGGGAATGCGGTGATGGGAACATGGCTAGTGCGTTTATCCGGTGCTGTCACGGTCGTTGACTAAGTCTGCTACGTCAACTCGCAGATCGACAGAAGCCTGCCATCTTTGTACTACTTGTCGCCTTTTGATGGCAAGCGATCACTCCAGACTTTGCGTAAGCAAGAGTACGGCGTTCTAGCATCATAATCTGGAGTTCTATTCGGACCTGCCGGGACGGGATATCAATAGTTGGGCTCGAATAGTTGTGCCCTGGTTAAGGTTTGCCAAGTTAATATCTTTAAAGTCTTCAATCCAAGCTAAGCGCTTCGGCTTGGCTCGTTTTCTGCCGTCCAAACTTCCCCCAGGAAAATTGCTATTGGCTAACACACTGACGGTACCATCTTACGATTAGGTGGTCCTATTGCCAGGGGAAAAGTCTGATAGCCGTATGCTGGAAATTGAAGCTTAGCGACTCCAACTTGTTGGTCGCGTATTCGCTTTACGTGAAGATTGACGAGGGGTCTCGCAAAATCGGCGGATTCCGTAGTCTATCGCGGTCCTTCGAATCTCTGAACTCATCTGGTGTCTTGTTCCAGGATAGTAAGAGACTTGAGTCTGAGGGTTCTTCTCGTCGCTTGACGAGATGTCTACATTACCACCACCAACTGTTCATAAGGGATCCATCTTCTGGAAATGACATTTTGGTATTCCAGAAGCTTGAAAAATTGGACTTTCCTTCATTTCAGGGCAGTTCGGACTTAACAATGTCAAATTGCGTAATCATAAGAAGGAGAACGGCGGGGCACGTGGTAACTCTAGAACACGTAGGCCAAGGAGGTAGAGAGAGCAATTGAACTCATAGTAGAATCGTGCTGTCCATTGACGGAGGGCGCGGACCTGCGGTAAAGGGGGCTTTCCGTGTCCCCGCCACGGGGATTAGAGCGGCATCTGGCATCGCCCCGTGTGGATTCGGTTGCTGCATCCGGTCAACTTTAGCGGCCTGCTCTAAATTTTGACTACCTCCGGGAGTTGAAGGCGGAGCGACCCGTTTCTGATACTTCACGATATCCCCCGCCGCATCGTCGGCTGCTCCGATGGTTTTTCGTCTTGTATGAGCCGAAGGACCCGACAATTTTCAGCTGAAAAGAAGGGCAGCAAGAAAGCAGCGACTGTGATACTTGTCAGACTAGATGCTTAATATGTCAAAACACGCTTCGGGCAAGCTGGTTGAATGGACGTTTTTGCCCTACTTACAATAGGGAGCCCAATTGATTTGACTGTGTGAAACACCCAGGCTACCTAGATCGACTATCAGCCGGACTGTCACGAAGCTTAAATGGTATCGGCACTCGTCAGGCGCTCTGCCATGTGCTTCCTCACGTGGATCTAACCTTCGTTCAGTACTTTATCCCATCGACTGCGAGTTAACAAAAGTACATGAACACGTACTTTCAGTGGATGGAAGCGGTAAACCACAGATTCATCTATGTTTATCCAATACACCTAACCAATTTCGAAAGATACCCCGTTAGAGAAGACTGGAGGTGTAAGTATGCACTGATGTGAACTCGCAGTGGATCGGAGATAGACCACTGTCTTGTCTTCGTCCTAGATAGGTTGGTTCAAGCTACTTTGGACCCACTTCGTATGCCCATTGCCGTGCGGCTTAACCCGTAGCATAGACAGTCCATTACTATCACAATAAATAGTCAAGATCAAGCAAGCAAGCAATCTTCTGGGTAATAGCGTTTATGAAGTACTCTAGCAGACCATCAAGAAACTCAGAGATTGCCGATACCCAATAATTCAAATGCGATAGCTGTGGCAACACAGAGTATTATTCCTAGTAAGAGCAAGCCATGACACCCTGAGGGCCACGCGAAAATCGCCTGCATCATCCTCAGTATAAGTCAAACCCCCCACTTCCCGGCACCCCCCTGTTTCTGGCACCCACAAAAACGCGAAAATCCACCACAACGCAATGCCCACCCCCAACCTCCTTTTATCACAACATTTTCAATTCGAGTCCAAATGGGCTCATTTTTTGCACATACCTTCTTCTATATCTAATGCCTCAATATACCGAAGATCAGCTTCGTCAGGCTCTCGAGGACATCTCAAACGGCAAGAGTCAAAAGAGGCCTCATTGGGTATGGGATACCACGATCAACCCTCCAACTACGTCTCAAGGTGGTCAGACTAGGAAAGTGGCTTTTGCTGACTGGCAGAGGCTGTCTCTGACCAGGAGAGTAAGCTGGCACAATGGGTTCGCATTCAGGCTTCGCTGGGCCTCGCACCAACGCACCAACAGGTGAAGGAATTCGCAGAGCGAGTTCTGGCTGCTGCTGGGGATACCAAACCATTAGGAAAGGCTGGATCTATGCCTTCGTGAGAAGGAACCCTATCATTAAGGTTCAGAGAAGTCGTTCCATCGATTCTAGACGCGTTAATGGGGCATCTACTGAGGTCATTAGGAACTGGTTTAAGTTCCTTGCTATCCCTGAGATCAAGGACATCAAACCAGCCAACAGATATAATATGGATGAGACTGGCATCCTCGAGGGTCAGGGAGCTAATGGGTTAGTGCTGGGCATGGCTGAGACGACGTCTGTTCGCAAAAACAACCTGGGTCGAGGGCATGGGTCTCTATCATTGAGTGTATCTCAGCCTTGGGTAGGGCACTTCGTCCTCTTATCATTTTCAAGGGAAGACGGTCCAACAACAGTGGTTTCCATTACATCTGGTTCCATACGATGGGTGGGAGTTTACAGCAACAGATAATGGCTGGACTACAGACTTAACTGCCATTGAATGGTTAGAGAAGGTGTTTATCCCACAGACTATGCCCGAGGCTGAGGGCGAGGCTCGACTGTTGATTGTGGATGGGCATGGGAGTCATACGACAGACTTCATGTGGAATTGCTATATTAACAATATCCATTTACTGTTCTTACCACCACACCTCATGTCCTCCAGCCACTTGACCAGTCTGTCTTCAGCCCTGTTAAGTCAGCCTATCGGAAGGAGCTCGGTTACTTGTCTCAATGGAACGACTCTACCATTATAGGTAAAAGGAACTTCCTGGACTGTTACCAGAAGGCTCGACTTGCTGGTCTATCAGTCTCGAACATCAGAAGTGGTTGGAAGTGGACTGGTCTACACCTGTAGCGATGGTTAAGCCCCTGATGAACCCTATGGTATTACCTGAGCCTTCTGCTAAGCCCACCACCCAAACCAACCAGTCGGGGCAAAAGCGATGCCATAATGGTCAACAAACTACCCTGTTGAGCCATGGGATTCTGCTTCCTCTGCAGTGGTCTGGTCGACACCCAGGAAGCTGGCAGAGCTCAGCGGTCAACTGCACTTATACACCCAACTCGACAATGATACCAGCACTCAACGGCTGCTGTTCAGGAAGGTGAAAAAAGGCTTCACAGAGCAGGCCTGGCAACTGGCAGCTGCCCAGCAGCAGCTGGCTCACCTGAGGGCTCAAGTTACCAACGCTGCAGTTAGGAAGAGGAAGACTGTTCAGATCGATCCCAACACGAAGTTTGCGAACATCAGGGATATCCATCGGGCTCAAATCGAAGCGGGTGAAAAGGAGGTTATTACGGCTGAATCCAGCGACTCTGAATGCCCTAGTGAGGCTGGCAGTTGTATTGTAGTGGGTGTGGTTGAGGATCAATAGTTAATAGTAATGAGGAGGTTGGGTTGTGATCCCATCGTTTTTGTGGGTGCCAGAAACAGGGGGGTGCCAGGAAGTGGGGGGTTTGACTTATTACCAAGGCTCGAGGAAGAAATTTTCACAGCTCCAAATCCCTCAATTCCATCAAGATTTCATCCATCTTCCCAAGTTTCTCTATCTTTCCTTCAGACAACACGGCCACAAAATTGCGGTCCGACTGTACACTTCGTGTCACACCACTCAGCCGATGTGTGATTCCAATAACCGTATGGCCTTTTCCAATGAACTCTTCATAGATAATTTCACGGATAGTACCTTCGGTCTCGGGATCAAGCGACGACGTGGCTTCGTCAAGAAGTAGAATTGGCATTGGCATGGTAGGTTCGCCTTGAGACCGAAGGCTAGGCAGGGCATGTTCGCTCCGAAGGGCTTGTAGCCTAAGGATCGCCCTTGAAAGTGCGAATAACTGGGACTGACCGGTGGACATCTGGTTCAAAGACGAAATGGAGCTGTCGAGAATCTTGCGGACTTTTCTCGGCGGAGAGCCTCCGTCTTCGAAATGCGACCACATCTTAGTTCGTTTGAGAGCTGCCACAATATCTCTGTCTGATAGACAACCGGAAGGCTAGAGCGAGAAGCCCAGTTAGCATCGATTATCCTAATAGTCTGATCCTCCGGAGATTACTCTGCTTACGTCCAGATTAAACCGAAGACTAGCCTCGCCAAGAACGAAGGTGTCTTGGGTAACGGTGACGAAGCATCTTTGGCGGATCAAGCTTCGAGGCACTAGACTCAAATCGACCCCATCTATCTTGATGATACCAGACTGCAAATCCAAGAGCCGGAGAAGTGTAAGCAGCAGAGTGCTCTTTCCACTTCGGAAGGTGAGCAAGAGAGTCAGTCTCGACTAGGCATGAATCTAGGGGTAACGATGTGTAACACACCTGCCAGTACGACCACAAATCATCAGTTGATCACCAGAGGAGATATGTAGATCGATATTTTGCAATGCGATTGCGTCGGAGCTGGAAAAGTCACGTCAGTCTTTGAAAACTAGACTTATCGCGGTGAACGTCTTACTTGTAGGCGACAGTGACATTATCAAACTCGACGCGCCCAGCAGATGGCCAGTTATCGTTGGGAACAAAATCTTCATATGGCTTTTCCTCTTTTGGAGTATTGGCTTCCAGAGTTTTCAAACGAGATCTAAAATTTGGTCAACTAAGCACCGCAAATTGGGGCTGCCAACTGGGAGCGCGTGAAATGAGGTCCGAAGAAGATGAACGCAGTGAATGAGAAGACGGAAAGAAGTCCAAGAAGCTTACATAGCACCCAAAGATATCTCCATATTTGTCCAGGACGTTACAAGACCAAGCAAAGTGCTATTGGCGACGATCACGATATTCAGGGCCATGCCTATTTGACCAGCTGTTGTTGTCCCCTTGAGGAATATAGCGAGAGTGATTAGACCAGTCACTATCCCAGCAATCATAAGGTCAAGGACGACCCCTAGCCACTGTTGGAGACAAAATAGAACGTATGCTGGTTGTTGGGATCTGTCGAGGGACTGAATGTTGCTAGTCTCGGCTTTCTTCTCCCAACCAAAAGCTCGGATTGTCGTAACACCTTCGACCTGTTTCATAATGATTAGTCTGAATCAAAGAATTTATATCGCCGAGGAGGTGTCATACCGATTCAAGAAAGCTTGAGTACACTGCTGACTGCGACTCGAGGTCCAATAACCGTAACTGTCGGGATGTCCGCAAGTAAATCTTCTGTATCAGGTAGATCGCAATCATACACAATGGAAGTGTTGTTGCCATCATTTTCTGTGCGCTAAAAAGCAAGCCAATCTGTACCAGAAGCTTAAAAATCTCTGTTGTCGTAAGCCAACATGTTGTTTAACAGTGATGTTGAGACTCACGATTTGAGATCGCCAGAACGGCAGGCGGAAGACTCTTGTCCACTAGTTGGATATCTTGGCTGAATCTGCTTCATTTCAGCACGCTGTATGCTACAAAAGCTTCGGACTCACCAACCTATTCAGAGTTGCACCGTTATCGGTAGTTGAGAAGTAAGACAATGGGGCCCTGACGCGTTGTAAGCATGAGTAAAGTACCAAGTCGGACGTTGCATACGAACCCGCTAATAGTCGAAAGAAGACGTCGATGGAGTTCGGCTCCTGACTTGGGGGCGATAAGAATATGAGTAGACCTATTTGATTCAGCAACCTAATCGACCCGCCTAGAGGTGACCACGACACTCACCACATTGACCCGTTAGTGGCAGTCCACGCCAGCAGGGATGAAATCAGGTAGCCCCCGATGTAGAACATTGTCTGTGAGACAGGTGCCTCGGTCCATTTTTGTAACCAGTATTGAGGAAAGGTGACAAACAATGAGTATGAAGCAGTGCAAAAGATGAGTAAAAGTAGGTTCCGGGGGCCAACGGCCTGTAGATAGTAACCTGTAGAACCATGAGCATGAGCTTGGACTAAACAGTATACTTGGAGATCAGCAAACTCACCATACAATGACATGTCACCAGTAGCCCTGGTGAGATCAGTGACAGCTTCATCTACCTTCAGGCTTTTGCTGCGCACTACATTGTCCATCTGGACATGTTGCTCGATAGTGTTCTTCTTACCCTCGTTGATCGTGAATTTGAGAACGTGCTTTTGGTCGTTGGTGAGGCCGTCCCATGTCCCTTCAAACGCGACTGAGCCGTTGTTGAGGAGAATCAAGCGATCAGCTAGGTGAAAGTGTGTCGCTGGACGAAATGAGTACGGAGACGGAGTAACGGGTGAGTCTGTGGAGTGATGAACTTGCCAGAGTTTGTCATGAGAAAGACAGTTACACCAGTCCTTTTGAAAAAGCCTCCAGGGCTTAGAAGATTCTTCACAATGCGGCTTTCGGTGCTACCATCAAGAGCGCTGAAACTGTCATCCAGGAGAACAAGTTCGCATCGAGCATAGATAGCACGAGCAAGAGCCTGCTGACCAGTTAGCACGGAGTTATGTAGGATCATCCTCTGGCGTCTGACAACATATTTGGACTACATTGAGCATAAGATTCCACCAATGACTCGATTGGATATGGCGCTAAACAACATCCACGCCTGTGGTTTCAATTCAGAAACAGAAACGATAAGAAACTCGACGTACCACTCTTTGTCTCTGCCCTCCTGAGAGGTTAAGGCCCCGGCTTCCGATCATCGTGTCGCTTCCCTTGGGCAGCACTGAAAGGTCCTCCTCAAGACAGCAAAGGCGGATGACTTGTTCATACCACTGCTCATCTGCCGTGGAGAAGCCAATGACGGCTTGCTTGAGAGTTCCGCTTGGGAGCCAAGGCAACTGTTCGCAGCAGCCGATACGCTTTGACGATATTGAGATTGATCCGCTGGCGATAGGTAGCTCCCCCATAAGAGACTTGAGAAGTGTTGTTTTCCCGCTTCCAACTGGACCAGAGCAAACAACAAGTGACCCTTGGGCAATGGTAAGATTGACATTTGTGAGAATCGGAGACATAGTGGGAGATTGGATGGCAACATTCTCGATACAAACGGCTAGTGGAGTTGTACCGAGGCCAGCTTTTGTCTGCTTCAACAGGGCTCGTTGATCTTGTCGGGGCGGTTGTAGTAAGTAGTCTTGGATTCTCTGGAAAGCCGCCAGAGACCCGACTGCTTGTGGCACAATCGACATGATCATATTTGCCGGATGTGTTATTAAACCGAGCAGTGCAGTCGTCGTGAAAGCGGTCTCCGTATCAAGTACTGAACCCCGGAAGCTTGCGACGAGGACGAAAAGTACGAAGGTGACGATCGGAGAAAATATTCCGAGAGCATTTGCTAGTTGGGTCAGATAAAGAGGTCTCTCCGAGATGCTGGGTGTTTCCTTGAGGACATACCGCTTGCATTGTATGCGACCATCATCCACCGCACCTTTTTAGCTGTGCTTAGCTCCTGATTACGCAAGCCTTGAACCAGAGATTCCGTGTAGGAAGATATTCCGAGCATTTTCAAACTTTTCATTGATGCAAGCATCGAAGTGGTCATGGCGAGCCTTTTTTGCGTTGCTTCAGTCCAAGCTTTCTGCTTACTTTGAAGATTCTTTGCAAGATATCGACTCATTCGAGAACAGACTTGAACAACAGTCAGGTACTGTTCTCTCTTACGGCCCAGTCTGCCTGCGGGATATTGAAGTGACTTACAAAAGATGATGATATATGGCACTAGACACACCCATCCGACCTCGCGGGCTAGCATCGTTGTACCCAATAAAACTTCAATGACTTGCGCCCAAGTCTCGTGGAACATAGAAGCGGCTTGTCCTACACTTTCAGCGTCGGTACTCATCAATGTGACCGGCCTGCCGTCGTCATGGCCTGTTGACTGTTGAGTGAAGGATTTGTTGTTGATCAGCCCAACAACGGCACCTCGGATCATGACCTTCAGGCGATTCAAGAGGTGAAAATAGACCGCTCGAGCTACCTGTCATCTCCATCAGCAATCCAGACTCCGGTGTGAACAAGTCAGAATGAGCAAGCCTACCGCCAAACCGACATATATCGCAACAGCCATCAAAACTACCACATAGCCCGTGTCTGCGGACTGCGTCGATGAACGGCTCAAAACCCGGATTGCAGTAGTGATGAGTATGGGCTGGGCGTAACGGAAAATGATCAGAAAAAGCCTAGGGATCACTGGGGCGAGGAAATGCGGCAACATGCTCCGAGCGAGCACTTTGGGCAACGTTGTTCTCCCCTCTGGCTTTGCTGAGATGTGTTTTGATATGTCAGAATTGGCTCTTCATGAGACAAGGCGATGCGCCAAGGAGCAGATTATGAACCAACCTCTCTGATCCCAGGCCTGCAAGGCCTGCTGGCGTAGCAGCTTTGAGGATAACTCCTGGCACAGTGGAGGCAGATTCTCCCCGGTAAGAACATGGCGATTTCCCTGCGCCAAGATAGGGTTGATCCACCAGAAGAAGACTCTGTCCAGAATGTTGGCTACCTCTTCCGGTGACCATTGAGTTTGGGAAGAGCCCCTCTGGATCGGCCTCTTCCGGCGGCACTCAATGAATAGAAGTGCGGCTTTGACGCAAGGGATCGCGATTCGTGGTGAAATTAAAATGACGGCCGTATTCCTATACTCGGTGTCGCTGAACATAGCCAGGTCGCATCCCCAGGATACGAGTATGTAGACGATTCCAAGGTCGGATGGCTTGAGGGAGCGATTGTGTTCAAAGACCAGCAATGGGCCTAAACCTAAGCAAGCCGAGAAAGAAGCAACAGCAGAGAAAAGCTGGAGTTTGTTATCATTCCTGGAAGGCGAAAATGTGGCCGTTGTGACAACGGCCAATTGAAGCATGCTCAGCACAAGGGCGATTATCTGCGAGCCGTGTCAGTCGCTACTTCCGAAAAGGATATGTGTCCTTGGCCACGCCCTACACACCAGTTTGTTCAGGCCACGATGCTCAGAAGATACTTTCCGCGCTTCGCCGCGTAGTTGCATTAGCCTAAGCGGGAGCAAGGTCAAGAATAAAGCTGAAGTCGCGATGGAGACGACTTGTAACATTGATTCCATGATGGCCGCTGCTATCCCAACCCGAGCCTAGCCTTCAGAAATCTGCTTTGGACAATGTAACGAGTATAGAACTGCTTCAGCTGCTGCAGGCTAGTCAGATTCACTGCAAAAAATGCAAAGAATGAAAGGGGGAATCGGAGAGGTAGTGAGAACACGAAGATGATCTCGGCCTTTGCTGACAAGATATGAGGTCTATAATTGTCGACCCTGCCTTTATGGAAAAGACCAAGAGGGCTGGATCAGCGTCTAAACAGTGACTCCAGGACGACAACCGACGGCCTGAGATTTGCGGCGCAGTTCAACGCCGACTGGTGCGGGAAAAGCAAGCCGCTGGATGTAAGGAGGAATGCAAGGAGGCACCCAGGCCGCCGCAACCTGCAACTCAGACGCCAAGCAGGCCGGGGCAAAGGCAGCTAAATGGACATGGTTGATGCTGCAAGCTTACTTCTTTTTCTCCTGCCTTATTAGGCTTTCTGGGGCCTGCAGACTGTTGCGTAGTCGGGGTATGTGGATCTACACGGATAATCTTGCATAAGTAAGGTGCTTTTTGCGGAGAATGTACCCGCGTCCCGTCTTCCACCCGCCCGCCCGTCGCCACCGATGTTGGAATGGTGATTAGGAGTACGATGGCACAGGGTCCTATGGAATGGTGTGCTTCTTGAGAAAGGAAATTCCGGCGATAGTATCGGCAATCCCGTCGGCTAGAGCTTAGGGGAAGGCGTTCCAGACGTTGACGGTGATGCGGCGCAGCCGTATGATATCTTAATGCTGCAAAGTGGCACAGAACGGCCGACAACGTCGGAAAGGGTATTTGCCAAGAGCTTCAAAACAGCACGATACTGTCATAGATAAGCCCGGCATGTTGCCTTCGAACACCCTACATCTCTCAAATTCACGGTGCGATTTATTATGATCCCCACAGAAACATGGAAGGCCAGGATCAAAGAGAAAGGCGAAAACTGCAAAATCGCATTGCGCAAAGACGTTTCAGTGAGTAGGACATGTTCCACGACAATATCACCATCAAACAACGGTACATCAGCATGCTCACTGAAGGCAGGAAGTAGAAAGAAAGGGGGCGAAACCGCATTCTTACAGGCGGACCTAGAAATTACGGAGAGCGGGAGAGAGAACCCAAAAGTTCGTGAAGCCACTTTTGACCAGCCAAAAGCGCCGATCGGCACCGTCTCATCCGACTTCCACGGGATTGGCGGTGAAGTTGACTTCAATACAATGTTAATAGATGAAGCCACTGACGACCTATTTGCTGGCCTGTCGGAGGCCTTCGTTTCGAAGCCATGGCTGAAGTCCTCGTACATTTCGCCGCCTCCAAGTGAGGAATCCGATCGAGTAAACGTGTGGAAGGTAGATGATTCACTTGGAAGCCTGGTCAATGCTACCGCCCGTGTGAGCATGGACTCAACAAACCGCCAGAACAACACGCTGGAGGATAAGTTGACGATGGCTGAATGCTCAAAATCCCCGAGTGCTCTCAACGTAGGAAAGGCGACTGCGCTAAGCGGCCCGCGTCCGATAGCTGCGTCTGAGCCGCTATACACGACCACCGGCTGTTCACCAGCAATACGTTACTCTGAGGGTTCCTCTCAGGTGGGCAAACTCTCTATTACTGCACGATCGCACTGTTTTCGATGGTAGAGCAGAATCTGACAACATATTCACCAGCAGAAAGCAAATCCTATCCACCAAGACAATCAGAGAAGCCTGAGCGCCGGCACGAACAACGATCGAGCGGGGTGTTGCGTAGCACACAAGGCCGAATCAATGGTAGCGGACCTACAGAGGCTTTACAATTACGGCTTATATTTTGGGTTCTTTGAGACTGAAGATGATGAGGTCGAGGATTGCCTGGGTTTCCTCAAGGCTAAGCTGAAGGAGATGGCTCAATGTCCAAGCGGAAATGCGGTTCACTCGAGCCTCAGCAACAGCGATGTTGGTTAAAAGCTATCTAGGGGAGCAAGAACAGGACATGCATATATGGTGGCGTCAAATATTTGAGATTGCCTGTAACCACTGTTTATGGCAATACTAGAGGCGGCATAACGGCATCCCACGTATCACATCCATCATGAATGTGAATTTGAGAATAGCAAAAATGGAGTTGATTTTTTCCCCGCAAATGATGAATTCTTCAGCTCGGGAGCAGACTGTGGAAACGCAATGCTGGAGAAGTCGACACGGACGGTATTGGCACCCCACTATCCATTTCTCAGTATCGGTAGTGGTAGTTATCCGTGTTCCTGATCAATTTGGATCAATCCTCGGCCGAACAGCAGGAACAGAAGATGGGCCGGGGGTACTTTTGGTACTAGGCCAATCGTACGATATAGGTTTCTTGGCGAGACATGCAAAGCCTCAATACACCATTAAATGAGTATCGCCGCTCATCAATGGAATCGGGTCCTATTGGCTGTAGTTGAATAAAACTGCGAAAGGAGAGAAATATCCACTTGCATCCGCAAAAGTCTGGAGTGGGCGGTAGGTAGCATTCGCGCCAACATGCGGACAGGGAGACAGGGGCACTTTCACTTGCGGCCTGGGCCGAGCCAGGGACCTTGCCAACAACATAAATGCGGAGAGAAAGATTGGCTGGGGGAACGAGCAAGAGTCGCATTGCACCCCACCGATGCACTGCGGCGGCGCTGACAAGTTGCAGTCACCAACAGACTCACCGCAATCGCTTCCGAACCCACCGATAACAGGAACCTCCTGTAATATCGCCTGACATCCAACTTCTCAGCCTTGGCGTTGGAAACACGCGGTTTCACCGCGAATTACACTGTCACTGTCAACAAGTCTCCCCCGCAAGGCCCCAATTGCAATCTCAGTATTCGTGTGCGTGACCACCGCGGGACTATCTTATCTATTGACAAATTTTATAGACAACCACCAAAGATACGTAGCTGATAAAGAGGTAGAGTCATTGTTAGTAATTTCCTTGTGTCTAACACCCAGACTCCTCCGAACGGGCTATGCGGACATTCATGTCAGAAGAACAAGACATTGACATCGGCCAGTCCGATTCAGCTCATATCACATTTACTCATTGCCACCTCGCGAATGTTGATCTTGACATTTCCCGCCTCGTCGTGATTGAAGTTTCCCTTTATCATGATGAATTATCTAGGCCCTCTAGTTTTCCGCAGACATGAAATGGTTGGCTTGGAATGTCCATGACCGGAGCGCCTCTGCATTCAACTCGGCTACTTGCGAGTACCTCAGTGTTCTGGCCATAGGAGATCGGGGATGACGCAGGCGAAGAGGTCCTTGGCGAATTTCATCACTCTTCTCCATAGCCACTTTGTTCTTGATGGCGCCAAAAGCACATCTGCCTCCCTTGAAAGCGGCCGTCGCCGCAGCCTTCCAGATACTCCGGACATCTTGATGCATCTCGGCCTGCCAATAGAGACGGCAATCAGCGTTCTCAGCCACGAATTGAGCCGGCATACCGTCTTCCCAGTTCTGACGTAATATCTCATCCTTGACGTTGATGCTCGTAGAAGAAGCGCGAGATTCAACGTATGTGGTCAAGCGGTTCAACTCTGCGAGCAGAGTACTGTCATTGGTCGCATCCTTTGCGATCTGAGCGTAGGCAAATACGCTCTTGAATGAATAGGCTTGTGAGCCTTTGACCCCGCCGACCCCTTGGATCGTGCTCTTTGTTTCGGGACGTCCACCTAAGGCAATGCTTTGGACCCCCGCGTCCCATTTCATGAACTGGGAGAATAAGGAACACGTTGAGGCGCAAACACCATCGAAGAGGAGGACTATATTCTCGGGTCCGCCAAATGGTCGAGTAACATTCTTTCTTTCTCCGTATCCCGTGATCTGATAACCGATACCAAATGTGTCGTTGACAGTCGAGAGCGGATTATCAAAATCCCACTGTAAGAGGTTTGTGAAGTTGTCACTCCTTTGTTCCTTCTGAAGGTTCAAGCGTCAGCCACGTCTCCTTGATGTTGCCCCTCCCCTCCCCCAGCCGCATGAGAAGTATAACACAACATAACTAGCATGGAAACTCACAGTGACAAACTTATCTTCATATGAGATGAACGTCTCTAGGTGCCTGTTGAGGTCGTGTCTCCAGTTGAAAACGCTTTCGCATTGTTGTATCAGCTTCTCAGTGGCCGTGTTGGGATCATATCCGTTACAGATCTCTGAGATTGCTTGGGATACGGCGGCGAAACCCGAAGAGTACCGCCAGCGCCCGGTGCCTTCTTGCACTATGTCTGGGAAGATTTGGCGAAATCTTCAGTGAATTCAGTATTCGTTTGTTGACCGGTGCGGGTTGACCAAATGTCAAGCAAAGTTCTGAAGGGGCTAGGAGAGGTAGAATGCACTTACGTATCATATCCCTGGAATATATAGCCGCCGTTATTGACCTGGAGATCAACCACAAGCTTGGTCTTGCCGTCACTAACAGCAGCAACGAAGAAAGCCTCGACGACGCTTTGGAATTCCGCAGGGCTTTTGGGGCCAAATGACAGCATGACGAGGACAGCCACATCTTCGAAACCTGCCTCATCAATGTAGTAACCCGAGACGATCGAGTCCTTGCTAGAGATGATTGGTTTGGGGTATCCTTTCACCGTAGTTGGTGATGACGATGGCAAGGAAGTGGATCGGGCGCTGGAAACCACAGTCTTGGATGTAGAGGAGGTCGTGGCGGGCGGACTTAAGGCGCCAGGGGCAAATCTTTCAAAAAATGTGCGGCCATCATATACTCCATTCAAGTCCCCCTTAAGTCTTGCAATATTTCGAAGCTCCAAAACCGTCCCATTCTCAAAGGTGAATGTGGTTGTCTCGCCGGGGTAGATATATCGTGTGCGGCCGCCTTGCTGGAAAGAGCCCACGCTATTGACAGCGGCCAATGCTTTCGACCAGAACATGGAGTTGTAGGCCGATTCAGCGTCTTGATTTGCCGTCACATCGAATATGTGGCTCTGAATGAATGTTGATGCATCAACACCATTAATGAGCGACACTGCTGACGCGGTTGAGGGTGATGATGCAAAATCATCGTAGATTTTGATGACTGGCGCCGAGAAACCGTCCTCGCTGATCGAGATGATAGGAAATGGTCTGGCCCACTCCATAGCGTTGGTCAGGACATCTGGATTGACATACAAATGCCCGTCATGCGCAGCGCTTAGAACTTCGACGAACAAGTCATGCTGCCATGAATATTCGTTGAGATATTCATCAGCCTCGAGCCTCTGGCGGATGTTGTCGAGTGCGTCGAAGACATCATGGGGTGGAAAGAAATATTCCGGCGGCGGTTCTTTGATGAAGGCAAGATTTGATTGCCATTCGAGATAGGGCACGAGCTCGTCGACAAATTTGAGAGCGCCGGACTTGTTGAGTGGTACTGAGGTGATGCAATCATACGCGAGCTTAGCGTCAATAGTCGGTCGCGATGTCGTGGAAATTTGAGTCACCCAAGTTGCGCTTACAACCGAGCATGCTGTTGAAGATTCGCGCAAGGTGGGAACAGCCGGACGTTGCGTGACGCAAGAACAGGCTCTAAGGATTTCAGAGTTGACATGTTCAACTTCATCGGCATGACAGGCGTCAAGCACAATTTGTGGGACCAATGAGAGCGGGTCGGGGTTCTTTGCGAAAGTGGTGCAAAAATCGTTGAGAGACTCTTCTTGATGTGGGAGGAGGGCTGAACTGTAGCTGGCAAGACAATGGTCAACTGCGCAGTCTGTTCCTTTCGCGGTGTTGGTTGCAAGACTCAGCATGAGGATGCGAGCCTCTGTGGAGCGAAGCTTCATGATTTCTCCTTTAGACTTCAATAAGATTCAAACAGGTCCAATTGTCGCAACATGAATTAGGCCAGCTTCCGAGACGGCTCGCAGCCCATACTTTACCTTGCAATCAACGGGACACAGCTGGTGACTTGGAAGATGATCCACATATGCTGCTGATGTATGCTGACCTGCATGCTGACATGCCGCCTGCGGTCATTTGTTTTTTGCGTGGCATTTTACTGACTTTCACGGCCCCATGCCGTGGCAGGGACTCCAAAGCTTGGTCCAACTGATTGAGTTTCTCGTTCTGTCCGGTATGACATGTTTAATCCAAGATAAAGAGTGGTGCCTTGAAGGGATGGAGATCATGACTCCATCAGGCTTCCTATTGATCGGAGAACAGGAATGATTACATGGAATTTACAAGCCCCTGGAGTTACATTAACAGGGGTGCAATGCTATAGTGGCAATGTTCGAGAGCCGAAAGCTCCATGTATTCCCATAGATGCTTTGTCTGCATGCAGGATAATTACCCGAGTGAGAACCGCTGGAAATTTACAGTCATTGGGTTGAGGCACAATCAACCTCATATGGGTTGATTAAAGGCGCGGTACCTAGATGGAGATTGCAATACAGGATCTGTCGCCGCATAGTTGATGAGAATTAAGACTATGGTTTCTTAATGACTAGTGTAAAATTGGAGGAGGAATAGTGTTGGTATCCCTATCACAGGGTAATTGATTCAAATTGTGGGTTGACGAAGAGGTCAATTGGAATAATAACTTCTGTGTAAGGTGAATAAGAACTGGAGGTTTCAGCCGTAGGTTGGGCAGGCCGCGATTATCGAAGTAAGTATGGACCGCAAGTGGTCCCTGCGCGGTCCTTGCCTCAAGGTCGAATCAGACTTCCAATCCGACAGATAGAGACAATAATGGGAGCATAGACATCTGGGTGAGCACTCGACGGAGACAGGCCTGGAGCAACAACTACCTTCAACGGCAGTAGTATGTATTCAAAAGTTCTGCAGTCGACATTTCACATTTTGTGCTTATTTATTGAGAAGAATCGCAAGCTGCTTAATTTGACATCTATTGACCATCCCAAAACTCTAGGCACGACATCCACGATCAATTTCTCAAGTGCACTGCCAAATTCAACTGGCGGGAGTAAAGAAATGCCGCAGGCATTCATACACGACCTTTGCCAAACGACTAACAAATGCTTAGACATTAGCTTCCTTCTCGATCACCAGGACGCAAGCAATGTACGCCCTCAAGAAATCGACGGAAAGCGCGGCAACGATCTGCCCCAAAGACAGTTCAAGCAATGGGATTGCCTGAGAGATTGCCAAGAATAGAAAGAGATTCGTGGTCACATATGTCTCAACCTTTTCACAGCGTGTGATGGATTCACCCAGATCGATAACGAGCTGATGAGTCGAGACCAATTGTTGCTGTTCCTTGGTGCCAGTCGCAGCACCAAAATCAAGTTTGGGAAACCCCTGTCGCACCAGGCTGGCTATCTTGCTGGCTTGGTGTTGAAGGATCTTTGGTTCCAGCACGTCTTCTGGTGAGAATTTGTGCGCCTCCACAGCCGGTAACCATGCGACCAAAGCCTGCAAGAGCATTTCCTTCGACATAGTCCAGACACCCTTTCGCGCTAGCTTTCGTATCTCTTCGTGGCCATCTTTGTATATAATGAGATCCAAAAGACCGTGTTTGTCGTAAGCCATAGCGCTAGCAAGTTTCTCGATCAAGAGGGACCGGCAGATCAGATTGTCTGCGAAGGAAATATAGTTGCCCTCCTTGAACTTCAGCTGAGTCGAGAAAGGGGCGTTGACCACAATTTCCCGCCAGAGGCTAAGACGCTCACCGGACAGGGAGAAGTCCACCGCATCTACCAAGACTGAATGATGGTCATCGTTGAGCATATCCGATATCTTGACTTCGATGACTGATGCTTGAGCACCAATTAGGGAGCAGAATGCCCCATCTTGGGCACCATCCTGATGGCCCAAGAGAATATCTGCGACAGATCCGGGGCTGTCATCAATAGATGAGCCCACAAGTGCGCCTGGATGATCTGAAGAAAGATGGAAGGCAGTGATGACGCAACTTCTAGTGTTTCCAGCCTTGTTGCGATATCGATGGTGTACCAAAGAGCCTGCGTTGAAGACCACAGTAATTGGCTGATCGGGATATTCCACTTCGATCACTGTTGGTTCCCGCCCGGTAATAGCTTGCTGGAACTCGAAAACAGAAGCGATGCTCTCGTTTGTTATAAACAGACTATCATTTTCTGTTGACCAAGGCTGGGATTGGTCATTCACCCGCACGAAGCGGTTCCCCTTTTGCGTTCCAGGCAGATAGGTAAAGTTCTGACCAGCGGGGCCTTTCACCTGGCCTTTCTCCCAGCCGAGAAGGATCTTATACTCCTCTACAAATGGGGAGTTATCGACATGGAGCATGTTGTCTTGGGCGTTGACTGAGATTGGCTGGGTGTCCTTGCCACGGGCATCGGTCATTCGGACTGGACCGCCCATGGCATAAGACAGCAGGCTGATGAGAAGGGGATGAATGACAGCATCGTTATACGCCGGATTTTTCAGAAATTCAGGGTGCGCAATAAGGTTGGAGAAGGAATGAAGGAACGCATGGGTTCCTGAGCCACTCATTATGTCGGTGAAGTCGTCAATGAGCTTCTGGAAGGCGGCGGCGTCGATCAATCCAGCAAACACAGCGCACCCGTCGCGCTGAAGAATTTCAACAAGCCTGATGAAGTGGGCCTCTGTAGTTTCATTCGCCCAGCCCTTTCTCAGTTCTCTTAATAGACTCTTCCGAAATGCGTTTTTGGAGTTTGCATCTGGGCCACCGCGAAATTCGTTGGCCTGAAGGCTGAGGCGCGGGGCAGAAGACTTGGAGAGGATCGATGCGATCAGGTCAGCCCTCTCACTAGCTGTGATTGCCATTGAGAGCTGGATAGGCACAAGATCTTCAGTCAAAGGCGGCGCATGTCCCCCCCCTTGACTGAATTCACTTTGCTCTCTTCGTTGGATTGCTTTCATGTTGCTGGTTGATGTTTTTTGCACCGGACAGCTGTAGGAAGATAGGTAGAACTGCTAACAAGAATGTAGTCGGCTGCTCAAAAAGGGTCAGAGTGCAAAGCGGAACTATACTGTTCCCTCTTCTAAGATTGAGGCCACTCCGGCCTAGGACTATTTAATTTTGAAGCGTTAGTGAGGATTACCATGGCGATCATAGCGACACCAGTGTAAGGCCCGGTATGTTAGGTTCCAGAAATTACTAACCCCCATTAGGAAAGTAAGCATGCAGTGCGCCCCACTGGGCTGTCAACGGTCCTGCATGCTGACAGTCATTCAACGAAGAGCTATTATGGTCAATTACCTGGGTAATCGGTGGCATTCGTTCACGGCGCTCTGGGGTAGATCGAGGTTCTTCCACGGTGTAAATTTCGGGGCCTTGGTCTCATCACCCCGATATCCCTCAAACACTCTTCTCATAGACTCAACCATTCGACAGTCTGCATTCAGTCTTACGGTCATCTTCGTCGCTGACTTAGTACACAATGAAACCGACAACGACGTACTCAAAACTCAACCAGAGAGAAGAAGAATCTTCTTGGATCTCAGACGACAAGGAATCCGAAGACTTAGAGACACGGAGTAGCAGATGGACGCGTCTCTGCGCCTACGCCCTGAGTATCGTGCTCGGGGGTATGACCTGCGGGGTCTTAGGCTACATTCTCCTGAATTTATCGACCCTGAGAACATCGCCGTCTACATCCGAGCTTCATTGCGGCAACTCATCCACGGAAGCTCGTGCCCTCGGGTGCGTATTCGATTTGCTCACCAACAACTGGATGCCCGAATACTGCTCCGACCCGGCCACTGATTCGGAATACCGAACATGGGTCATGGAGCCCCAGCGACATCTTGGGGCCTGGGCATTCTACTACGACAAAAACGCAGAGCATCAGGTGGCCTCGGAGGAAGAGCTGTCAAACCTTGTTGGAAGGCACGTATACACAACCACGGAGAATCACCTAGCACACTGCACGTTTGTTGCACGTCGGATGCATCGCCTCGCCATTGGCGAGATTACTGCTGTTGCTCACAACACTTTTGCGCATACAATGCATTGTACTTCGGCCATTCTCGACGCCATCAGTACTCCGGAACATCACTCGGCGCATCATGCAGGCTCCACGTTTGACGTTGGCATTGTCTCGTGCGCGGTGTAGGGAGCAACGTTGGCTTACTCGAGGATGGTAACTCTGTTATATTTTCGAACTTGGATTACTTCTTAGATCACATATCACTGTAATATAATTAGTTGCAAAGCCTTTTCTCATACATCTCTGATGCCCTCAGTGGGTGCATGCACGGCCGAGTCACGTAAATGCTGCTCAAGTATGAGAAGTGTATATATAGATGTGGAGCATGAAATTGGTATGATAAACCGCAGCAAGGTCAATGTCAATAGCCTAGCGCAAACATTGTTCATGAGATGTATTGTGGCCGCGTATCTTAGTGGTATGAAAGGACGTGGTCCAGCCCATCAGCCGTCTAACGTAAGCGGAAGAGCGGTTGGTACGCCTCAGGCCACCTTTCGGATCTATTTCTTCCCTCTGGCAGACTTCTCAGAGCCCAACAGAACTGACGAAGAGGTTGGCGAATAAGTGGCAAAAGAGTTTCACGTTTCAAAATAATGCAAGGAGTATAATTCATATGATATCTAGTGGATATGATAAGTAATGGGCTGACATCCAAATCGCCCCCGAATCGGAAGCAAATGCACCAATGAAGTTTCTACAGTCCATTGGAGAGTGATAGTTTTCAAAGTTGCCAAGCTGCTCAACTCGCTTCCAAACCCCTCTTGGAGTGGACCTTTTTGACCAGTTTATACCAGTAAATGAACGGTCCGCTGTGCGTAAGTTACCGACACCACACTCTACACCCATTCGCCTCAATAAGGACTCGTTCCTGTACTCGTCGCAGCGTTAGGCATTGCAAAAGTTATGCGGGGTCTGGCAACATCAGCCGAGACAGACATACCGGTCCATGGATGTACGAGAATTGGTCCAAATGGAGGAACAGTATTCTCTTCCAAGAATCTATTCAGCTTATCGCTGTTTGCGCAAACATGTGGAGCATGGTGGATATCCACGGGCAGCAAATCATCCTCATGCCATTCAAAAACCATGAGTGACATATCGGCATGACATAGTTCTGACTGACGAAGGCTGTACTAACATTAGCAAGTTACATACTAGATTGTTCCAGGCAGAGGGGCGCCATTTACATGTCGATGCAGTGATCTGAATTGAAGCATTAGAGTACGGTCGTTAATCATGATTATTCTCATACATCTGAGAGACTGACCAATATGTTCCGGTATAGGCTCCTCTGGCGTTGCTTTGAACTTATCGGCCATTTCCGGGTAATACTCTGGTAGCATGTACTGCCGAATGGTTTTCTGTGATTCATGTTGGAAGTGTAAGTTGACAACAATTGCCACAGAGGTATAAATATTGTTAGGAAACCAACCAGGCAATGCAGATTGTGCAAGAAACTGAATGTTCCCATGATTCCTCCTTCTGCATCCTGCCATTCCGTGAGAATGGTCTTAGATGACGTAGAGTTTCGCCATCCAGGTTTAGGAACCCTTACGGTGTAGTCTGTACCACATTGTCAATGATAAAGCAATCAAACGGGTATTCAGATGTACTTACTCCTCAAAGGATCAGCCCAGGCGTCATCTAATTCAGGCCGTGGTTTTCCTCGGAAAGGCCCGTGAACTCCAAACTTATCGTCAAACGACCGGAGTTCGAAATCAATGGCAGGAGCCACCCAATCTATTGCAACCTTAGCTCTCTGGAATTAGAATGGTATAAGGAATGTAGACCCATGAAGCCGGCACACTGACCTGCGTGGGGCAAATGAACGCCGTCCGAGGTTTCAGTCACGGAAGCGCTCTTGGGGGAGCTCATCATTAAAACGAGTCCAACATTGAGCAGCAGGACGAAGAAGTTGACAGCCAGAAGAGTCCAGCCAATCTGTCTCTGCTGGTTGGCTTTCCTCGACTCCTGTTTGTCCCGAAGGAATCCTTGTTCCGAATCATCGTCGTCCGAGTCAGAGTCAGGGCGTTTGTGATTTGAGAAAGAGTCTTTAATGCCAGACATTGCGGTTAGAACGGAAGCACTGTTGAAAGAATGTGTGTCGAAAGGAAATTGAGCTCAAGCTTCGGTGTGTTGGTCGTTGGTGGACTAAGAAGAAAGTACCTCAAGCTAGAGGCCATTTCTTTTTCCAGAAAAGAATGTTTTTGTTGGAGCGGAAAACATGCGCGAAGTTTTGGTATGTTCAGTGATGCATGGTGACCGGCGTTGCAGTTGGGTGTGGAAGGGCATGCAGTATTACACCTGAGCGTTGGAGAAATAGTAAGCAAGCGTTAGTCTCCAACTGTCGCAGGGGCAATACACTTTTCATGCAAGCTTACTATCTGTGCACTCAAACATATTGAGATTGTGTGGGGACGGCCTATCAACATTGTCAAGGCTAGTCGTCATATCGAGAGTGATGACAATCAGCAATACAATCTGCTGCTGATGTTTGCACAGGCAGATACATGTCAACCGACAATACAACGACTCATACCATCGGAAAATCAGTATTTAGATGTCTAAGTACTTGTCGAGAAATTTCATTCTTTTTGCAACTTCACAATCAGGTCAATCAAAGTCATCAAGATTGCTCTTTCTCGATCTACCTATTCTCATAACCTTCAGCTTCCCTTCAGCTTCGTAAAGTATCAAGCCATTCCTATTTCAAGATGCATTTCATCCAGACAATTTTGCCCCTCCTCATCCTGGGAGTGACTGCCTCTCCGACTCCAGGTACGTAAGGAACGATAGCTTGTAGATACAAAATCGCTGACAAAAAGAAGTCAACCTCAATAGCATCGCTAACGGACCTCGCGATTTGGGAGACGTCGCCAACAGCCCTCGCCGCGATTTGGGAGATGTCGCCAACAGCCCTCGCCGTGATCTTGGCGATGTTGCCAACAGCCCTCGCCGCGATTTAGGAGATGTCGCCAACAGCCCTCGCCGCGATTTGGGAGATGTCGCCAACAGCCCTCGCCGCGATTTGGGAGATGTCGCCAACAGCCCTCGCCGCGATTTGGGAGATGTCGCCAACAGCCCTCGCCGCGATTTGGGAGATGTCGCCAACAGCCCTCGCCGCGACCTCGGCGATGTTGCCAACAGCCCTCGTCGCGACCTCGGCGATGTTGCCAACAGCCCTCGTCGCGACCTCGGCGATGTTGCCAACAGCCCTCGCCGCGATTTGGGAGATGTCGCCAACAGCCCTCGTCGTGACCTCGGCGATGTTGCCAACAGCCCTCGAGATCTCGTTCACTTCAACCAAGCTGCTACGTCCGATGCTAAGAACTAGAACTGGTATCGGGCTATAAGTTCTTGTGTATCGATCAATGTGGTAGCAGGAAATTATCAGAAGAATTGCTGTTTAACCAGATCGAGCGGGTTGGGTCCCAGCGTTACTGGACCTATGTCAGCGCCTATACTACCTAGATAACAATCTATCGTGAAAATTGCTTTCGCAGGATGTTAGCGTTTCTGTCATCATTCGTCCATTGCCATACTTGCGGTGAAGAATCACGTGAACATTATCTTACTGGTAGAACATGGAATGAACCACGAGCTTGAATAAGCTTGAGTCATTGGGGAAATAACTACTAAAGGCTCACATAACTAAGATCAGTGACATAAAGGCGTCATAGACACTGTATGCGTTATCAAAACGTCACATCAATTCACTTACTACGTTAGATGCAAGATTCCTAGCCCTTTCTCTATTAACTTTGCTTCTCTCTGGATCCCAGCCAGCAAGCTGTGAAACTGGGACTCTGTATGAAATAGTATACAGATTGGTTCGCCTTCTACAAACGACCTGGGTTCACGATCCTTCATTGCTGGGCCGTCCCTTTTTCGCTCAACCACAGAAGATTCTGAATGCCTCATTCCACCGACATGCCCTAGACAGTCTGGTGTCGGCGATGCTACCGAACTGGTTTGGTGTACAATTTCAGACTTGAGAGATGTTTATTCAATGCTTTTTATGACAGATCATCCAAATACATAAAAGCATGGTAGCGAAATCATCAACGCCGAAACGCCGGATGAGGAGGTTTATCAAGTTCCCTTCATTCAGTCTTTGCTAGACGCCGCTTACAATAACATCATCTTTGTAGTGCGAACTAGTCTATTGCCCTTGACCAGGAAGCTGTCCTCCTGAGATCTGTACAAGAAGGCTGGTGCCGACTTTAATACTGCACCAAGGCGCGTTTCGTATACCTAGAGAGACAAGGACGGGGATGCATTCCAAAAGTGGATAATGGAGAGTAATGACGAACCGTTAGAAGGTACTATGAAAGTCATATACTTCAAATTGAATAGCACGATACCGGCGTACCAGCGTTGTGTAACGTAAAAAGATTTTCACATTATTTCAGTATGTAGAGCTAGCTGAATCACATTAGAGACGAGCTATGTCAAAATATTGTTGAAACCTCAGACAGAAAAAAACACCACCAAAAGCGATCTATTTATAGGTGACAAAACTATATTAGACCCAACACTTCCAGCCATCTCATGGGCTCTACTCTTCCTTGTGGAACTCTAAATAGAGCATGAATTAGAAATCGGTGTAGACCAGTATGGCCTATCAAAGTGGTTCTTTCTCTGCCAACCACTCGGTTCAATCAGTCGTCCGGTCGTCTCTTTTGGTAATGGAGTTCAGAGAGTTCCTTTTTGCTTTGGTAGGTGTCTGAAAACCGTGTTGTAGATGATTCTATCGTAATGTTGATATTGGGGACGCAAAACCTCACAACTGGAGTGAACTTGATATCCAAGAGCTGGTTGGTCGTTTGTTCAGGAAAATAGACCAGTACCACAGGAAGGTCGTGGCGGATCATGAGTCCGTATTCACTCACTCATCAAGTAAGATAATCCCCATGACCAAACATGATTCAAGTATTTCATATCACGCAGCTAGACCTTGGATATGGCCTTTTGTAACTCAAAATTGTATGAGTCGTATTTCTGCGTCAACGAAGCGGAGAAGCTGTCGTGGCGTGGAACTTCCCCCTGGGCGATGTGCCAAGGTGCTCGACGCAGAGCCTTTGTGGCTTTGGGACCCTGCTCTCTGCCAAGAGAACTCATTGCCCGCGCGCCCGCCTGGTGGGAGAGGATAAAGCTTGCGTTATATCACCATTGTCTCGTCGTCGGGATGCTCTATGATTGGACCCTGAACTTGGTGGCGGCAAATCAAGCCGGGCCTTTGGCCGAAACCCATTAATCAACCTTACGGCGCCGGCTACACTTTTCTCACCTCTACTATCTGATCCGAACTTTCCGTGGCAGCAAGCAATGCCGATCACGACCACGAGGGCAGATAAGTGCACGAGGTGCGTTTATCGTTGAAGCGTGTAAGCCCCGCCATTCAGAACTCTAAGTATGCTGTTCCCAGGAGGCCCCTAGTTTGACGTGAGTTTGTTTCGAGGCGCACCGACCGGCCGTTGATCGACACTGCCGAAATGCCAACCCGCATCGAACTTCCCGCTCGGCCTCTGCCAGAGTAGCTTCTGGCCGTTGGCATTCGTCCCGTTCTTAAACATGGGGAACTCTCCTAGTCAAGGTTTACAGGCGTGGCTACAGCACCAGTCGCACTACGGCCGGACCATTGACGGAACTGGGTGAGCCGGGAAGGTTTGCAAGAATCGAGCCAAGAGAGAGTTTTTTCTCCGATCTTGACTGTCGATCCGGAGGGACCCGTGGCTGGCTTGCTAGCGCGTCACCACACCACCGCGGGGTATATTGCGATCTTATGGTTCGTAGATCACTAATTATATGTCAATCAAATCGAAGACAAAGGGCGGAGCTTCAGCTGCCAAGACTCCGATTCAAGCCTCAATTGGGATAATACTCTTGGTTTGACTGCGCGACGACCCAATGTTCTCCAAGTGACAGTAGGGGCAAGATCACGAACAATATTCGTCGACGATCCGGGTCAGCTGTAAGTAGATACTTGACTACCCAGGCTTTGATGGTTCAGCGACACTGAGGTCTTCTTGCTGGTAACGCGTGAAATGTACGAGATGCTCTCTCTGAACCACAATGCCGAAGTCTCCCACTGGCAAGGTACATTTAAGACGATGTAATGGCGGCAGCACCCGCGCCTACAGCGATGGTGCGGTTCACTTCAAACGCGAAGAAACTCCAAAGGAATCCTGTCACGACACTGCGACGAAACACAACAGTTTACCAAGCTAAATCCTCTCTTCTGCCTTCCCAGCTAGTTCTTGACGACGGGATGTCGATTATTCAATAGCCTTGTTCATCAAGCATGCTCTCTTCGCGCGTGTCGCAGCTTGTGACCAATCACCGATAGCGGCTTGGCAAGAAGTTATTGTCACCGCCGCAAAGGCTAAGCTTCCGTTTCGGCGGTATGGTTAAGCTTTGCCTATCTCGCCGTCTCGAATACGAAACCGATCATGATGGCCAATCCCGTGTAACGGATCTGATTACTGGAGAGGCCGGGTCGGCCACTCAGGATCAGGTCGATGGAGATAACTTCTGGAAAACATGATGATGGGTAGCAAAGCTCCCAATCGGGCGTGACCAAACGCGGATTTTGAATTTTACGCAGCCCTCGCCAAGTAAAGCATAGCCGGCTCTCTATCGACGACCTGGGTACTAATTCTTCACATATAAATTTCCGTTCTTCCTCTCTCTCTCTAAGGTACCAGCAGTTCTTTCGTATCCACACATAAATCAGGCCCTACAACATATCATTGCTGCTCTTGTTCGAAATCAACAGTAAGGCAATTCCTTGTTCCTAATATCGTTTGATATTAACATCACGTCAGTGAACTTCAACTTCCTATTTTGGTTCTTCCTATTGGGTGCCACCAGCGTTTATGCAAGCACCTGTACCGTCGAACCACGGTCCAATTTTGATAGTCGTTTCGATTCAAGCTTCGCAAAGCAAGCAAAGCAGCAGTGCCGCAACGCCGGTGGGAACTCCAAGGGAGGCAACTCTGTGCGACAAGTCTGCGATTTCCGTGGCGATGCGCCCAGATCTATTCAACGGACGTCTCGCATTCAAGTTTCCTCAAACGGCCGTAGCACCAACGTCAACGTGAGATGGAATTGCAGGCGTTAACGGTAGCGCATGGTCATGGCACCATTTGGTGTCTCGAAAGAATGCGAAGGTTGTCTGACAGGCATGCTGAATCGGGGGGCAAGGAGTATCTGGATTGTGTAACTGGTGTTGACTTATTCCGAGCAGATGGAGAGCGAAAACCGATGATGATCATTTTCTTCATTGTTAGCAGTGCGTATCGATTCTTCGTCCTTTTGTCTCTGATCCAGGTTTTACCAAATACACAACATTGTTGAGACCCCAATATGCCGACACGTGATTTGCCCAAGTCTGTTTTACACTGGCTTGCTACTCAAGTGACGGCTTGGTTTCTTCTTGAGTGCTCGCAGCACAAGCCTGATAACTCAGTTTTCGAGGAGGTTTGTGTCATCCCTCAAGTTGAGTAAACTTCTAGTCATACCGGATTGAGGACAAGCATCGAAGTGTAATTCTCGAACTTGATGCACCCAGTGTAGGTGTTTGATTAAGGAAATGTTGGCGAACCGAAATTTGTAATGGTCGAAACGTTGGATCACAAGAAATTTGAGCTTGCATTTTCATGACGCAATTTGGTCCGATACTTTGATCCAATGCTTTGATCCAATGCCATCGTTCTCTATGCTCAAGCATTGTGACTTTGGCGGTATGTGCAATAAGGTAGTTCTCAGAACTGTAACCTGATTTCACGGATAATAAATTAGAGCGGCACAAAGCGTCACCAAAGTCTATTCCATTGTTATGCTAGTAAACAGAAGACACGCCAAGGCATACTGGACATAGGCCCTATAACTTGATTTACAGCACTTCCAGAATACGAGATCAGAATCCAATTTCGATCTGCTCCTCAATCTCCGTCGTCCGACCAATGGAAATAATTCCCTTTCTTTCGGTGAGATCAAACACTACGTTGAAAAGAGTGCCAGAATCATTCTTTTCGACTTGCTTCCGGTTGATGGAGCTTGGGAAGTTTTGTTCATCCTTGAACAGCTCTAGCAAGGACTTAAAGCCGGCGTTTTGGCCAACATCTAGCGTTGCTAGCTCCCTCATACGGGCGGTACGTTTCGGCGAATCTACAAGCCAGAGTGGCTCAAGAACGCCATCATGATCCAATATCAAGTTATTGGCATGAACAACACGGCCATTCTCATCAGCCGGCAGCTCCCTGAACCCAATGCTGGTGCACTCGAGGCCAGTTGGGCCTGAGTGGTCGCCGAGAAGAATGTGACTGCTTCCAGCTAATCCCACGCTCTTTATCTTTTCCAGGGCCTCTCTTTTTGACCTGGATTCCAGAATGGTCCGCAGAGCAAAGTGGGTTGGCATACGTTCTGAGTTGACGCCCTTAGCGCGGATCCCATTAAGGAGACATCCCACACCGTGCTCGTTGAATCCAATCTTCCCAATGATGCCTGCTTCAGTGATCATTTGGAAAGCTGGCAGATCGATGCCGGGCCCGCCATGCGGCTTAGCGCGAACGATGATCAGATTTGGTTTCTGTTCGTTCTTCCAGTCCCAGTTCTGTGAGAGGAATGTGGACCCTCCAGGAGTCTTCCAGCCTAGTGCAGTGCATCCGTCTACTGCCATTTCGACTGATCCATTTGACGTGGGTCTTGTCGGTTCCGTTTCGAAGAGACCAAAAGCGATCTCGCTTCGTATGTTCAATGCAACAACATCGAGAACATCCACGGCAGCACCTTCCGCTATCCCTTCGATCTCTTCATAGTATGAGGGAAACTTGGCTTTGAGGTGTGGCACAAACTCTCGGGTCTTCGCCTGTACCGTGGACCACTCTAAGCCGCTGAAGTCTTTGAAAAAATAACGGTAGAAGGCAATTGACCCAGCAACTTGCTTTGCAGCCTGATGACCTACAGCAAAGCCAATCTGCGTTGACACGGAGGTCATGTGAGCTTCTCAGCCACATCAAAAGTAGTCAGGAGTATCACTCACCTCTCGATGGGTTCCAGTAACAGTGATATCAATCATCCTCGCAGAATGTTCTCTCGCTCGAAATTTGCTATTGTTGAGATGAGCATGCAGAGTCGACAGATGGATCCCTCTTTGGTGGGCTTACATTCGTGATGCGGGGTTCTCCTCGGCTATCTCGTGCAGGCTTCGGAGTGGCAAACACTGAACGGCTCGCCGGCTCTCAACCTCTTCGATAGGGTCCTACCTACAGGTCTGCATTAGCTCCCTTGCTGCTTGCATTTCCATCCGATATAGCTAATCTCCGACAATTTCAACCAACGATAACGAACGTCTCAAGGACGATTTAATCATCAATCGATTGACCATTTCGCCATACAACACTTACCGCAGTAGCGTATGTTCTATTCAATGTACAGCAGCCTAGGTATTGTGTCGTGAAGTTCCAGACTGCCCTTGCCTCGTCTGTACATTTATGGTTCCAGGCTGTGAATGTCCAAATAGACCACCAAGCCAGTCAAGAGTCTTTGACATTTCAATATATCACAACGCTGAAAACAATGATGTTCGGTCAGACTCCTCAAATAGTCAAGTAGTGGAGGGAGCCCCTGGGGCAAATCAATGGGGACTTTCCTACCCACTCCGACGCTTAGAACGACACTGGTCAAAACTCATGTAGTCTCGGAAACAATGTCAATCTTTGAGGATGTCATATTTGAGTCTCAAATCATGTACTTCGTAGGAAGTTTATCAGTATCTGAGTTTTTTTGCACCGACTACAAGGCAAAAGTCTGGTTCTTTTCAGATCTCGAACTCTCAATCAGTGGACTCATTCATGCACATAACCTCTTGTGCAATGGGTGTCTGTAATGCCCATGATCTGTTTGAAGATCTCCGGATTTATTTCTCTTGGAAGAGAATGAAAAGGCTCAGTATTATGTATCCTCTTCGTTTTCGCCGATCTACACTGGAGGAGAAGTAACGATCTAGATGCTGCTGATGCCATTAATTGACCTGGAGATTCAGATCGTCAGCATAAGTATCACATCTTGACACAGATTATGGTAATTCGATGCTCTTAGCCTCATTTTGGAGGTAAAAATTTGCAAGTGCTGCGATAGAGCAGACCGTGGAAGTCTCCGGCATCAAGAAATAGCGACGCGTGTTTTCTCAGCCAGGTTGCTTCATGTTGGCAGCGGTTTTGCTGTTCTTCCCTTCACACTGCTCACGCGTTTGAAAAAGGCAAGGCTGCATTATGATAAGAGATTTTTTTAGGGGAGAGATTTCATTGAAATGTCAATATGAGCGTATGCGCGTTATCGACCCGAGCTACAAACCCTCGGGTAGGCTGCTCGGGTTCGTGCTTTGTTCCGCGTATTCTTTACCACCCGACTCGGGTCCGTATGCCCCACACCTCAAGCAATCCGAACCCGTTCAACTGCACCTCTATCCGAGCATTCACGGCCTGGCATAGAGTAAAAGAAAATGTGCAAACACGGAGCTGATGAGGCTTAGATCTGTCTAGACTTTGTGGAGCTCGGAATATTCTTTTAGGTACTGGCATGTCTTTACAATGTGGACGACTTCGTTTGCTCCTCAGCGTACATATACCCGTCCATTTCTTTGCTTTCTCGAATTCCCAGACAGTCCTTTCTGACGGCAGTCTCTCTCAACTTTGCTCGCCATTCTTGCCGAAATTCTTTGTACTTTTTCGTACATTCTTATCCGAATCACCAGACGCTCATTAGCCTGCAGCCATGTCTACGGATGGGTACTTCGCGCCAGTGCCAGGAGTTAAGCCAACCAAAGGAGGAGCCTACCTTTGGCGCTACGTCCCGAGCAAACCTGCGGCGATCCTATTTCTCATTCTATTTCTCTTGTCTTTCCTCTACATCAGCTGGAAGATCTGGAGGACTCGTGCTCGCTTCTGCATCGTCTTTGCAGTAGGATGCCTCTGTAAGTTGCGCAATGACTCTTGACAAACCTCGGTGTACTGACGCCCAGTAAGTCGAAGTCATAGGATATGGAGCACGCGCTAGCGCCCACGACAAGACCGACAGAATCATGACGTTCGCCATTCAGAACATGTTCATCATCATCGCACCCGTCCTCTTTGCCGCCTCAATCTACATGATCCTCGGTCGAATTATCACGAGTATCCACGCCGAGAAATATTCGATGATCCGACCCGCCAAATTGACGAAGACGTTTGTCCTTGGAGATCTGGTTTCTTTCCTAATTCAGGGAGGCGCTTCGGGCATGATGGTGATCCAAAAGCCCGGTCTCGCGACTTGGGGTGAGAGAATCGTCATCATCGGCCTTGTTGTCCAGATCATCATGTTTGGCCTCTTCTGTGCTATCGCCGTCGTCTTCCACCGCAGAATGAGACAAGCACCCACTCCCGACTCCCTGGACGGCCTGATCCCATGGGAACAGAGTCTTTACATGCTTTATGCCGTCAGTCTGCTTATCATGGTTCGATCAATCTTCAGAGTTGTCGAGTTCGCTCAGGGATATACGGGGTACTCTCTTTCTCACGAGTGGACACTTTACGTTTTCGACTCCCTTCTTATGTATCTCGTCACGGTGCTCTTCGCTTGGAGGTTCCCAGACCGCTTGAGGCCTAAAGAAGATCTGGCTCTGTGAGTCGATGTGCATCGGCCTAATTTCTGATGGTCGATATGGTGCAAGTGGTCAACATTCAAGATTGGGTTACGCCTGTGCATTAAAGAACGACAGGGGAATTATATTTGTGAATCAAGTTTCTTTCGAAGATTCATGACGTAGCTAGTTAGGTTTCGTATGTAGGAATCCTCATCTTCCACTTGCCTTTGAAAGCTCTTGGTCGCGCTGTGATAGTAACTCACTGCCTTCTTCCTATCAGTCTAGAGAGTAATGACCGGCACCTCCAAATTTCTAATCTCTAAGTCTCTGTTTCTCATGAGATGTGCTGTCTTCATCGCCTCGTAACTCTCAAATACCCAATCAAGCGTACCCTCCCGACCGCTAGGATGATCGCTATTATGACCACTTTTGTACAACTTTGAGAGCCTCTTGCGGCTTTTACGTGGTATTTTCAGCCTAACCGGGCCCTTCCCAACCATTTCCTCCATCAATCTGTGATGCTTACGAGGCAAGTCGCAAGGCTGTATCGTATCGTTTCCCCGTTCGCGACACGTTGAGCATACGCGGATGTTGCATTTGTCACAGGACTGGAAGCTCACATCCGTTAGGATTGGCCGACAGCATAATGAACAAATTATTGCCCAAGCGCGATCCTGTTCTAGCATACCTCGGGCAAAAGAGTCGAGTTGGAGGGGTACATGGTAGCCGATGGAGTCAGCCTTCTCTAGAAGCTTCTCGTAGATTTTCTTTTGGCCGTATTTGGCCGCTAGAAGCATCGGTTGATCAAGAATCTTTGGACCCTCTGATGAATCTGCATTGAAACAAAGCAATTCTTCAAAGTATGAAGGGACGCAATCGGTACCAATGACATCTGCAAGTGACATGGTGATGGGGTTCTTTCCAAAGATATCTTTGGAAACTATCAAAGATGAATCTTTGCAGGAGCTTATGAGGAGACGGACGTTACCCGAAGATTGAGCTTGAACAGCGAACCACAGCGGCGTTCTTCCCACAATATCCTTCGACGTCGGGTCGGCCCCATGTCCGAGGAGCATCTCAACAACTGGCTCATTTCCACGGACTTGGGAAGCATGGGAAAGAGGTGTTCTTCCTATAAAGTCTTTGGAATTCACGCTTGCCTGCAGTTGAAGACACAGCCTTGCGTATTCTGGCTTATGAACAGCGTATGATAAGGCGGTGCGTCCATGCTTGTCGCCGAGGTCGATTCGTGCCCCATTCTGAATCAGTAGTTGCGCACTCTCCCGAGCTCGTTCGAACATCGTCTGCTCGCTGGGAGTATCATTCATCCTTAAAAACCACTTATACGTCTTCTTGTAATCGTCGCCTGCCGCATCGGGATCGTTGCATGTCGCATCAGAATTGTATGATTTCAGTCCCTTCATCGTGTAGAACAGCGGTGTCTTTCCGGTCGTGTCTGCGCCGTCAACCTCTACTCCATTATCAAGCAGAAATCTGAGACCATTCAGGGAGGCGAAGTAAGCAGCTGTGCAAGTAAGGTACCGCCCTTTACTTGACTTGAAGTCAAAGTCCGGTGCTTGTTGAAAAACCATTTCCATGATATGCGGGTTTCCCTGTACCACAGCACCGTCAAGAGCGTCCAAGTGAGACGTGCTTGGAAAGCGTTTGTTCTTGGACACTTTCCGAGGCAGTTTGTCATATACTCGAGCTTTTCCAGCTAGGAGTCGTTCGACGATGGCCTCGAGATTGCGCTCCACGGCGTGGGAAAGAACAGTTCGTGGGGTACACGCAAATCCAACCTGCAGATCAACTTCAATGCGTTCATCAGACAGTAGCTCTTGTACAATATCAGGGGTGCCTGTGTCAGCACATGCAGCGATTAGTAATGGGCTAATTGTCTCCCCGCAATGTATCTCTTCGATGCAGTTGGGATCTACCCCCCGGCTGAGAAGAGCCGACACGAAGGAGATGTGCCCAAAGAAACAAGCCTCTATCAGCAATTTCCCACTTAGGGCCCGCCAGTTGTGATAAGCTTGAGAAGTGTCCAAAAGGATGTGGAATAACCGGGCACTGGGGATCCTCATTGTCGTTACCAACGGCATAGACATCGGCAGCCTAGGGCCTGTTTTGTCCAAGCTGAATGATGCATCTGATCTTGCACCTCCTGCAAGAAGCGTGCGGACTGTACTTTCGTGGCCATGCAGCAGCGCGTAACATAGCGGCGTTTGGTGTTTGGCGTCTTTGATATGAACTGTATCTTTGTTTTCGGAAATAATTTGCGCCACGGCAATGTCGATACCCAGAGCCGCTGCCACATGTAGGGGACTTGCTTCATCGTGAGCGTCGAAACCGGCCAGACTCTCGGCATAAGACCTCATTGCGAGTAGCTCCTGAACTTTTCCATGGAGCATTGTGGCTTGGGATTGGTGAACATGCTTAGACCAGTTATCTCGGGCGTATTCCAGAAGTTCTGCCACGTTTTCCAGCCCGTGTATATTGTCATCGCACCCTTCGTAAGTGGTTCGTTCGTGGGCTGCACTTACTCGGTTGAAGGAAGAAGGGCCGAGTCCTGATTGACAATCGGGACGTTCATAGAGAATCAGGTAGGCAGCACACACGCCACTGATCTCGTAATGGGCCTCTGGAAAACAGGTCTTTTCGAAGTATTCCTGTGCTGAGTAATGGCTCAAGCGAACCACGCCAGATGTTTCATCGACAACGACTAATCCTCCACATGCGGGCACGATATCTTCTCTCTCATACATGTTGTCTTTCGCTAGTCGTTCATGGTGCAAGCCGGCTGCGATAGCTTCCACAAGCTCGGGAACCTTCAGGGGTCTTTTGGCGTATGTGATCCACATGAGAGCCTTCATCGCTACGCTATCGTGCTCTTGCGTTTTAATTCTATCCAAGACGTTGTCATAGGCTTTGCAGAGCAACCGATGCTTCCAGTCGTCGCCGCTGTTCGGGGTCGACTGCGCAATGTGTGCATCTCTTTGTAATTCAGTCAAGCGTCTGTTGACAGCTGCAACGGTGAGGTCGTCCCTGAAAGTGTCCACGAATAGATGGGCTAGAAGAAACCTGGTTCACAGACATGGTCAGCAATCCCGTCCACTCAAGTTTTCATGAGCTTAATGTGAGTGTGGAAAATGGACTACTCACATCCCGTCGACAATGCCAATGATGGCATCTTTGACTTTCTTTTGAAGTTCTAAGTGTCTTCGAAGAAGTGGTGACAGCTTCTGGATGCGTTGGCCCAAATAGGTTTCCAAGTCCTGGATCTCCGCACGGACTTCTTGTATCAGGGAATTCGTAGGTTTGAATTGGTAGCTGATGGTGCTTATGGGTCTTGAAGTGAGGAAGAGTTTGACGTTTGGCTGGCGCCGTAGGTCGTCAATGATGTCCAACATGCTTGCACGCTCGTTCGATACAAAGACTTCCAATTCATCTATTGCATCTATGACTATGATGCAGCTCGGAATCATCTTGATTGTGTCTCTTAATAATTTCTTGACGACCGTCGAGGGAAGTGGATCCTTGCGTTCGTGCATCTTATTGAACTCGGTAGGTGAGGAAGGCAAGGCTTCAACGATTTGCCTCAGGATAGATCGTAAAAGAGTCGCTGAAGTGTCCAATGACCGATTCTTGTAGTCACAGTACACATACGCCAAAGCAATGTCACTACGGCCTCGGTATTTGCTGCGAAGGTAATCGACCACTGTCGCCGTGATGATGGTCTTTCCAGCTCCCATCCCACCAAGGCAGAAAAGAATCCTGTACCTTTCCTCGGACCCAGTGTAAGATGACCAAGTCTTGAAATTCCGGCACTCCAAAAACCAGGTTCCGGTTCCCTCGTATCTCAAATTGAGTAAGTCGGTCTGTTCCAGCACGAATGTCCGAGTTGAAACCCAATCAAGAACCACCCGTCTGTCTTCCGCTTCCGCTTTGCGTTGGAGTTGATCGCGGATGCCTTCAGCTGTACTGCGAGAATCATCACGAAGATTCTCGACGGCTTGACCCAGTTCGCCTAGTGTGCCGTGGACTTCGTCCATTGTTTTGCCAATCTGTTCGAGATACTGTTTCGTCTCCTGGATGACGAACCTATCAAAAATTAGCAACATTCGAATTCGCCGAACAGAGATTGCAAGGTGTACATACTGCTGATTTGCCTGTGCCACCAGCATGAGTTTGGCCTTCGCATCTCGAATCGCTTGTATGTGCGTCTCAAGTTTCTGGTCAAACGTTGCCCCTTTGAACCACTTTTTGACGAAGTTCTTCCCAGAAAGACGTTCATTCAAGATGACAAGTGCCTGGCGACATCGGGTCAAGATGTCTCCTAACCCTTCGGTATGTATTGCGTGCAATGGCTGTCCGCCTGCGTCAACCGATTTTAGAAGAGGGTGAAGGATCGCAATGGTCTGGATGATGTCGTCGAGCCAGCCGGAGAGACGCTCCAGTTCTGTGGTGTTATGCTTCGAAGGGCCAATATGTTTATTCACAAGTTGAAGGCATTCCTTCGCTAATGGAAGGACTCCAAACGCACCAATGACAAGACCTGCGACCTCCATGGTGCTTCTCCCCGCGGGAAGCGCAGGAGTAGGCGACAACTTAAAGGTGCAAGTAGGTGATAATATGTCGTCTGGGGGAAAAAGCAAAGGACCCGAGAGGTTGCATTTGTCTGATCCCCAGATAAGTCTGAGCAGCGGTGGAAGGAAGAGTTAGGATGAATATCAGGCCAGACGAAGAGTCAAGTCCAGGATGAGGGAATAGAGATTAGGAAATGGGAAATGAGCGAGGTACAGTTGAGGGAAGGAAGGCAGCATAACTTGCTGCAAGTTGAAGAAACCTCGAAAATCTTGTCTCTGCTAGGTTCCTCGACTGCCTTCAAGAATGATCCAAGGAGGCATGGAGTGAAGTGAAAACTAGGCACCCTCCAGGGAAGGTGACCCCGGCTGACCGTGTCTTGGTGGGACATGATGTTATCAATACTCTCTACTGAAGCATGATTCTTTCATCTGGAAGTCGACTTTCTTTGACAATTCCGAAACATAGTACGCCCTTTGTCTGGCATCCATATTTTCTCCCACCAACAGCCCTATTCCAGTGAAGACGGATCAAAGTCCTCCTTCATGTCAGGCAACCAGCCCTTTGGCCGTTCCGTTCCCCGGATTGCCAAGCCGTACCCCAGCTTCTCCACCTTGCGCACCGACTGTCGCATAACCTCCATCTTGCCCCTGAAGTCTCTTGTCGGAATCTCTGGAAGAATCTCGAAGCAGCTGCTCAGCTCATGAATATCCATCAGAATGTTGCGGCCCTCGATGCCGGCGAGCTGGCCGGTCTGGGCAGTAGTCACCGTAGCGAAACGCATCATCTCGCCAAAAAGGTCAAAGAGACCAAACATGTAGTCGTTTTCGGTGATTGAGACATTGGCTGGGACTGCCGCTGCTGTCTCTTCCTCGCTGATGAGGGTCTGGTTTCGGAGGTAGTGGGAGAAGGAAAGGGCCTCAACGAGCTCCTCTAGGCAGCGGAGAGAGTGAGCATAGCGGTAGCGGTTGACGCCTTGGATGTCGTTCTCAATGGCGGTGAGATGCTTCTGAATCTCGCTCATGCGCGTTTCAATCTCCTTGTTGGCGAAGTTTGGAAGGTCGCCCAACTTATTGACTCTGGCCCAGTATTAGTAGATGGCATGAGAATAAAGTGAGATCGGTGGGAGTCACCTTTGGCAGGTGAAAATACTGCATCCTTGTTAGCCAAGCCCCTTTCAGAAGAATAATTGAATGCTCACATCTTCTTGCTCAACGCGGTGACATCTCTGGATGCCTTGACAATGCGCTCCCTCCGATCGTGGTGCTGGTCTAGCTCATCGCGGAATTTCATGAACATGGGGGTGAATTGAGACTCGGGCGCAGCCGGCTTCTGTTTGGGCTCATGAGTCCGCATGTTGCCATCCCGGTCGCGCTTAGACATCCTGAATTACTGCAACAATTAGACGGTGTTGGTGAGCTGCGAGGTCGGGAAAAAGTGAGGCCGTCGATGAAGTCAGTGACTTGGAGTGATGTTGGTGTGAGGTCGTGCAGGGTCAGAATTGAATTTAGTGGGGTCGGCAGGTGGAGCACCCGGGGTGTGGGCCCAGCACACCCATCTGGGCTTCAGTGTCCAGGGGCTGGCTGGTTTTGCCCACGTCACTCAAATTTCCCATCATGGCAACATGGGGATTTGAAGCTTCAACCCCCGAAACTCACATTCGCTCCAGCGCATTGTTTCTTTCAGGGCATGTTCAATGGCCTTTTGGGTAACTCCGCTCGAATAATACTGTCTGATTAGATAGCCGACAATTCTGCGGCGAGACACATCTCACCCGATTCATATTCCAGCATGGCCGGCCTCGACGCGTTCTTCCGGCCCGTGCCGCTCTTCGGCGCCGCTGCGCTCCTCCGTGTGGCGATGTTATACTACGGCCTATGGCAGGATGCTAACTCCGCCGTCAAGTACACCGATATTGACTATCTGGTCTTCACCGATGCGGCTCGCTTCACTGCTCAAGGGCGCTCACCCTACGACCGCGAAACTTACCGCTACACGCCACTTTTGGCCTGGATGCTTGTGCCTACAGCGTGGCAAGGATGGTTCTCATTCGGCAAGGTCGTTTTTGCGGTCGCTGACTTGCTGGCCGGGTTTCTGATTGTGCGCATTCTCGAGAGACGTGGCGTGGAGATGGGGAGAGCACTGAAGTTTGCCAGTATCTGGCTGCTGAATCCCATGGTCGCAACGATCAGCACCCGTGGGAGCTCGGAGGGACTCTTGGGTGTGTTGGTCATGGCGCTGCTTTGGGCTGTGCTCGAAAGACGCACGACGCTGGCTGGGCTGTTGCTTGGCTTCGGAGTCCACTTCAAGATCTATCCTTTCATCTATGCGCCGGCAATTGTGTGGTGGATGGATGAGGAGATGCTCGGCCGAAAGGGGGCAGGTTCCGCCCAGACGCAGACTATTGGCGAAGCCTTGGTCAAGTTTGTCAATGCTGAGAGAGTCAAGCTGGCCGTCGTCAGTCTCGCGACCTTCATGGGACTCAACATTGCCATGTATTCCATGTAAGAATCCAAATGGCTAGCCACTCGGGACAGTGCTAACCATCTGCTAGCTATGGCACGCCATTCTTGGTGCACACTTACTTCCACCATGTCACCAGGATCGACCACAGGCACAACTTCAGTCCTTACAACGTACTATTGTATCTGACGTCTGCTTTCCCGTCCACAGCTACCATCCGCATAGAATCTGTCGCCTTTCTCCCACAGATCCTACTGTCGACAGTGCTCATTCCGTTCATCTTAGCAAAGAAGGACCTTGCAACTTCGATGATGGCTCAGACCTTTGCTTTCGTGACCTTCAACAAAGTCTGTACGAGCCAGGTAAGATCATGCTATCATTCAATAAGTCTCACGAACTGCGGCTGACATTCAAGCAGTATTTCCTGTGGTATATGGTCTTCCTGCCCATTTACCTCCCTGGCTCAACGTTCCTCAAGAATCCGAAGCTAGGGGCTACTGCTTTGGGCCTGTGGATCGTGTCCCAAGCTGCCTGGTTACAGCAGGGCTTCAATCTGGAGTTCTTGGGCGTTAGCACTTTCTTCCCGGGCTTATTCGCGTCATCTGTAGGATTCTTCCTCGTTAACTGTTGGATCCTGGGTATCATGGTCAGCGATGGCGATTCAACAGCCATGGTGACAGGCGCCAAATCCAAGCAATAATATTCGCAAGATGATGTAGATGTATAAGAAGAGGAAGATCTGGTAACTTTAAGGACCCCATCACATTGGTAACCAGACTTGATACCCGCGTGACCTTGGTCTATTGGTGATGTCGTCAAGCCTTGATCCACACTCGATGAGCCAAATTTCATCTAAAACAATTCCCAATCCTTGGGATTGATCTCAAATGCATGCAAGGGGTATTTGACTGATATTGGGAAGACGGAAATAGAGGCTCAAAGGGGGTTTGGTGGTTGCCTGAAAGTGGACACGTGATCCGGCGTCACTTTCCCGCGACGGAACGCGTGTGGGCACACGACCTTCACCCATCCTCTAGCCCAACTCAATCCCGTCGCATTGCGCAAACTTCTAGGCTTCGAAGCCAGCACCCGAACCGCGCGCCAGTCCGCGGCGCTTTCCTCCGTAGTCAGGTCGCAATGTGGCTATTCGAGACTGACGGCAATGTCTTCGAAGGTACATCTTAATCTACCCCACTAATTGTGCGAGATGCTGACGCGATTGATGTCCAGGGCGACGGCTTTGGCTCCGGCCAGGCAAACGATATCTCTTCGGCCGAACGGACTCGGAACGTATGGGCTATGACTGGGCGACAAACTTGCACGAACTTCACTGACGGTCTGCAGCCGGACAACTGGCCATCTCTCACAAGACCATCTCGCGCAAACATCTGACCATCGAGGTCGACAATGTATCCGATGGCGACAGCGTACGTAGGCGCAATACGATTGGCTAGTGCAATAGCTGAATGTCTTCCTAGCAACACCTCTCCCGTCGATCGACCGTCACAATCGAAGACTTGGGCACCAAGACTGGGACGACCGTAGACGGACATAAATACAAGGGCGAGAAGCATGTCGTGGCCGCAGCTTCGGCAGAGATTAAGATGGGTGGCTGCCCTGACTTGTTCCGGTAAGGGTCTTGTTTTTCGAAGATGTGGAAAGCCTGCTGACGGTCTTCTAGCTTGACCTGGCAACCTGTGGCGCTCACGTTCAGCTTCTCGAGCCGAGAAATGCAGTCCGACCCCTTTTCGCGACTGCGTGTCGACCTTGAGCAGCTTGACGTGAAGTTGTTGGCGGATTACAACATTCAGCATACGACACATGTTGTCACAAAGAAGCGCAACACTTCCAAGGGATTGCAGGCGCTGATCAACGGAAGGTACATTGTTGCAGACTCCTTCGTGGATGCCATTGTTGCCGCCGCGACACCCCCAGAAGATGACGATATCACTGCCTCCTCTGCTTTGGAAACGGACTTTGATGGCAATTGGCCAGATCCGTTGAAACATCTGCCTCCTCGCGGTGGGGAGCCTGTCGAAAGGCCCCCATCCGCATATGCGCCAGACGAGGCCCGCTTGGAAATCTTTGAGGGGTACACCTTTATTTTCTACGACAAGGGGCAGTTTGACAATCTTCTGGCGCCTATCACCAACGGCAAGGGCAAGGCTCTATACACAAAGGTTGATCCAAAGTCAACAACAGTAGACGATTTTGTTCTCTACGTTAAAACGGAAGCTGGCGAGAAAGGCCTCGGTTCATTCGACGACGGTAGCGAAGGGCGAGGTGTCGTAGTTGTCCGCTTCGTACCGAACAAAGGCGACGCTGTTGACTGGTATGCCGACTTTTTCACCCAGGTCTCTCTTCGACTTGATCATAGACCCATCGAACAAAACGAGTTCCTCGAGGCCATCCTCATCAAAGATGCCAGCATATTGCGCCGGCCTTTGGAGATGGACCCGACGCAGGGTCCGGCAAGCACAGCACCGCAAGAAGAGGTGGCAAGAGTTGACTCCAATTCAATGGATATAGATCAGCCGGCTACGTCACAGAATACGCTTCAAGAGTCTGCGCCCAAGCCTAAGCCTGCTGCTACCAGAAATCGGGTGCGAAGGGCACCGACGAGACGCTTTGCTGGATTTGACGCGGATGATGACGATGACGACGCCTTCGCCCCTCCCGTGGCCGAGAGCAAATCGGTCGAGGCCGACGCTGAGGACGAGGGATTATTCGTGTCTCAAGACGCACATGCACCAAACGAGGTAGCCGATCCATCGCCAGATACGAACAGACGATCCCAAAGGAAACGCCCTGCAACACAGGACGATGACATTGAGGATATTATCCCGACAGCTGCCGCAGTCAAAAGGCGAAGGATCGCCGCCGGAGAAGAGCCTGTCCCGCGAAACGAATCACCCGAGCCCGCGGAACCGGAGCCAAAGCCCGCTCCCAAGGTCAAGAAGGTGAAGAAGGAGATTGACGTTCTAGACGTTGCCCGTCAGCAGAGAGAAGCGATGGAGGCTCGCCTCAAGGCAGAGAAGGAAGATTTAGCCAATTTGCCTGACGATGTTGACCTGGAGCAAATCCGCCGGTTGCATATCGTCGAGGAGATGCCTCTACGGCAACCACCAGCCAACAGAAGTCACGATAAAGACGATGAGAATGGCAGGTGGGATCCACGGTGGAACGGGAGGAAGAACTTCAAGCGCTTCAAGCCGCGAGGTGAACTCACGGGGCGGCCACCTCAAAAGGTCATTGTGTCCCTGACGCAAGTCAAGCCCAAGGATTTTGGCATAGGAGATGATTACTGGCTAGAGGACGACACTCAGCGCAAGAAGAAGGGCAACGAGAGCCAGAAGAGCGGCACAGCCCAGGACGAGCCCGCTCCCCCGCCACCACCGCCGCCTGCATCCCGGCCGGCATCGCGACAACACCGTGTAGTCCTAAGCGATGACAGTGAAGATGACGATATACCCGATACCCAAGCTGAGCCCGCACCACAGCCAGAGCCAGAGCCCGAACCTGAATCAACGCCGGCGTCACGGTCGAGGAGTACGCGCGCGACGACAACGACGCAGTCACAGAATACCACGCAGAGCCAGTCGACGAGACAGACTCGCGGGAAGAGGGCCGCGCCGGAACCTGCCAAGGAGCCGCCGGCGAAGAAGCCGAGAGCCGCGCGGAAAGTTATTGAAGTTGCGGATAGTGACGACAGCGAAGATGAGCTCAAGTTCAAGTTTGGCCGGCGGCGTTGACGGGGCACAGGGAGGGAGTGGTAATGATGATGTATGACTTGCATTCGCGACGGGCGCTGCTTCTATTGTTAGGGGTATCTCTCTATCCGTATTCTGCATGCAGGCTCGACCTGTTGAAATACAGGCGTCTACTGCCGCATCTTGCTTATATGTGCCTCTCGGTGCCATTGCTTATGTGAAATTGAAAACCATACCATGTACATCAGTCCATCTCGTCCATCGCGCTCGGCTTCGAGCCCTCTTCCTCATCCACCAACAACCCCACGAGACACGCGGAGAGCATGGTCTCGTAGTTCACCCAGGGGTGAATCTCCCCAAACAACTTCGTCCCATCACGCCCCGCGCCGCGCAGTAACTCGGGCTCGCCAGCCGGGTGGTACGGTAGATACGGCGTAATGTTATACACTCTCCCACCCAACGCCATCCACGCATCCTTGCCCTTCCTGCCCGTCATCTTTTTCAACATCGAGGGCGTGACTTTGAGGTAGGGCGTCGAGGGCGGTAGGTTGCGCAAGTCTGCGTTGGGGCCTGAGATGCGCGCCCAGTCGAGCGGGGAGTGACCCGGCGTAAGGATGACTTTGCGCGTTGGTTTCGGAGCCTTTGCGGAGTGGGTTGGCGGCGGCGCGAGGGAGGAGCCGAGGGAAGAACTTCCGGGTGCCGGACCGCGGTTCGGTACGGGGCCGCGGGCGCGTTGGGGGGAGTTCACTGCTGGGAAGGCGGCTAGGCGGGGAGGGACTGGGCCGCGGGGTGTTGGGGCTGGTGGCGGCATCATGTTGGTTGAGGTCGTTGATGGCGGAGGAGGGGGCGGCATGCTTCCTTTGCCGAGAGAGGATCCTGATGGCGAAGAGAGCGATGCGCCAAGGGAGGGCGGTGCCATTGCCTTTGAGGGTTCTTCGAGAGTGAACGAGGGTACGGAAGCGGTAGGAGCGGCTGGGGTTGCCTTTGGTGTTGTTTGTTCTTCGGCTTCTGGCTCGGTTACCGTGGGCGGCGCGGGAGTGGAAGGGCTCGGGGAGGAGCGGCGGATGACTGGCGGAGGAGGAGGAGGCATAGAGACGGCGGTCGCGGTGTTGCGCGGTGCCGGTGCGGGTGCGGCGACGGGGTCATCAGGGAGGTTGAGCGTTGGCGGGGGAGGGGTATCGCGCGGCTGTTCCTTGGTGGAGGGCTCGGGGGCGTGCCCGTTCGTGGTGGTTGTCGATGAGGCCGTCGTCTTTGACTCATGTTGGTCGCTTGGCGGTGGAGGAGAAGAGGACTTTGACCGCGAGGAAGGCGGTAGGAGCTTTGTGTCGTTTCGCCAGGCGAGGAGGAAGGGCGGCATGAAGGGGTGTATCCATGGCGGAGGGGCGACGATGACCCAGACGAAGGAGGCGAGAATGAGAGAGACGCCGATATAGCCCATGATTACAACCCGGTGATGGGCCGTTGGCCACGACGGGGGTGATGGGTTGGGAAAAGAGAGGTTGAAAGAAAGGAGAAGGTAGCGAACGTTGAAGCGTAGTTGAGGTTGCAGCTGAATGCTATGGGAAGCTGCGGTTGTGGTTGTGTCTCTTTCGCTTGAGGTTCTGCGCAAGATGGGAAATCTTTGTCAGCTTGCAGCGGGTGCAACATTGACTTGGGCTTTCCGAGGCCGCTGAGTGGTGCAAGCTTTAGCTCGCGGGCTGCTAAGCGACAAGGGGAGCACGGGGTTCACTGGCGGGGTTCGAGTCTTTCCAGGCTGTTCAGTAGTATGACGCGCTACGGGTACAGTAGTGAAGAGGTGCGCTATTCAGGTGCAGGCTGCAAGAGGGAAAAGAGGATGATGAGGTAAGCGGTGCAGAAAGGGTACGTACTCGACGCTAAGGTGATTTGAGCCGGGCAACCAGCCAGACCCCCGGGACACGGGCTGACGGGTAGAAAGAAAAAAAGAAAATAAACGAGATGGAACCACCCGGACCCCGACGCCAACCAAAACAAAAATAACAAGACACCCATACCACCACACCAAGAGCCTACGGAGTAGAGGAGAGGGGAGGAGAAAAAAGGGAAAAAAGCATAGAAGATCGAAAGGTGACATGTCACCGCCGCCGGGTCCCGCTAACCACTCACCATTTGCAGACTAGGGGAACTTACTGGCCGCCCCTCCACGCCTTGCCCTGCCTGTTGCTCGAATCCTCACCGATCACAACCTACAGGGACTGGGTGCCGAGGCAGACAAGGCAGGGTTGGTGGAGTTTGATGGTCGTCTTTTGTGCAGGATGCCGTTGTGTTGAAGCCGCAACGCATGAATAAACAAATGCCAATCGAGATGAATGATGGGGAAGGATGGCGATAGGAGGAGCACGAATGCATGGTCAATGGATGCAGGAATAACCACAACACACACAGTCTCTATACTACAGCACCACAGGTTGAAGTGGGCAAGACGCGCACAATAATAGAAGCGTGGGCCGTGGTCGTGAACGTGGTTCCTGTGTTTCCCGTTGTTCTACGGATACCAAATCGAGGCGAGTCCGAGCTGGGTTCTTCCGGCAGTGTCAACGATGAAGAATAACGATGTCATTTTGCATTTCTGCATCTCTCGTAATTATCGTCTCGTTCCGGACAGGCATCATATGGTTCCTTGTCTCTGCTCTTTGCCTTACCCTTTTGAATGACATTCATTCTTCAACTCGCGCCTCCTTCTTCCCCCCTCACCTCCATTCCCGCGTCTTCTTTCTAACCTGAACGCGTCTACTCTTGTTCTAGGCTTGAGCACCTGACGGCACATGTCTCACATCCGGCATTGCTCCTGTTGATCACGAACGCATGTTTCAATCGCAACGACGTTTGACATCGAGTCTATTCGTTTGAAAATCATCTGGTACGAAACAAGGCGCAAAGACACACAACCACAACACACATGAACCAAGAAAGAGAGGCAGAGACAGAGACAGGCAAACGACAACCTCATTCTCTGGCCCTCCTATCCACACCGAGCAACTCTGACCGACGGAATTCTCCCACCGCCGGGCCACGCACGAAAACAGCATACGAAAGCCGAAAAATAGACATCAGAAACGGTAGCGATATTCGACACACACCGCATCGTGGATTCGTGCCTCGTACCGGAATTAAAGGCTCTTCGACAACCCTCGCCCAACCTTGACTTCGAAAAGGGACCCCCTCAAAAACAACCCCACTGCACACACCGCAGACAAGATTGGCCTTGCGCAGAACCCCCCTTCTTCAGGTTTATTTCCAGAATTTCCAAGGGACAGCCCGGACCAGGGGTGGACACCGGGAGAGAAAGACTCTAGGACTTGCACGAGAGACACAGACGGCCAGGGACGAAGCCAAGCACCGCCAGGGACTTCCCAGCACAGAGGTCTTTCGTCCAATGTCTCGAGCACCACAATCAAGTACCTTTCCCCGAACCACCACCTCCTTTTCGCAGCGCTCCCTGGTGGAGGTACTTCCTCACCTTTAGCACCAGCATCTGCAACGCACCCGCACACCCGCACCTGCAGGTACGTACCCGCAGCCACGGTTAGGTGCTGCCCCTTCAGAAAATGCGAGCGCTCTCCTCCGTGGGCGTTGGCGGCGGCGGTGGTAGCGACACCAGCAACAACAGCAGGAGGAGCAACAACAATCTTTCGACTGCTCCCTCGGCTCCGTCTCCCTCACCTTCACCAAGGCACGCCGGCGATTCATTGTCATCGCCGCCACTGAAAGGCACTCACCCACACACCACCACTACCAATACCAAGCGTCCCCAGCAGCAGGGAAACAACAATAAGCTTCACCCAAACCACCAAAAACATCTCGTCGTTCAGCAGGGAAAGCAGACGCCCGACTCGTCCCGAACTAGGAGAAACATCAGGCCATCCATCTCACCCGCCACCCGCATCAACCCCGCCGCATCTGCTCATCGTCCATCATCCAACTCTTCCAGACCACCTGGGACGACGACAACGACATCATCCCGTCCATCGGCTGCTCCCTCGGGTTCCTCTGGCCCTGGTGCCTCTGCTGCTCCAACCTCCGCAACATCGTCGCCCGCCGCCGTCGCTGTCGACCGCAAACACACGGCGGCCCAGCTCCGAACCACAAATAATCCCACATCGACTAATAACACCAATCCCGCCGCCGTCGATCGCTCGCCCACCCCTACCACTGCTGCTACTGGTACTGCTGCCACTCCTACTAGTACCACCAGCACACGCCCACCACCACGGCCACTTACCGCTGCTGCCACTGGCCCACCAACGATAAACGGGCCCCGACGCATCACAGCTGCTGCCACCAGTGCCAGCACCACCAAAACAACCACCACCACAGCCTGCCCAAACACAACATCGTCACCTTCACCTCCCACCACCACCACTTCTTCAACGCCGACAACAACACCAGCACCACAGCCCACAACAACCCCAACGTTGACGCCATCCTCAACCTCGAGACGACAGCCGCCTGCCCTGTCCTCCAGCTTGCGCACACCCCTCCGCACACGAGACCAAAATGTCCTGAACCCCTCTCGACCTGCAAACGCCGCGCGAGCGAAGCCTTCGCCTACCCCGTCGCCCACAGCCGGCACATCACCAGCATCCGCTTCCGCTACCTCCACACCCACCATGCCCCCCTACGAGAAAGGGGGCAGCACGACCTCTCGTCAACCGGCGATGCCTTCCCTCAGCGCAAAGGCAATCGGTCGAGCTCCTCTGACCCCGAAAGTCGCTGCGAAACCTTCACCCCCGGTCGTCACCCCCATGGGTCGTCGCCGCAACGACAACACAAGTAACAACACCACAAATCACCACACACAACCGCACATAAATGGCGGAGGTGCGAGGGACGACCTCACGAGCCCTGCGCCTTTCCTCGCTGCGAATAACATCACACCTCGCACAGGCAGTCGCCAGAGCCGTGTGAGTAGTACCAACACAACCCCGAATGGCACTCCGGATCCGGACAGGAACGAATGGGATCGCCAGCCGACACTCGAGCCTCCGAGACGACAGGTCGTCACCTTCAGCCCGCCTTCAAGCGTAAGCAGCAGGAACGATGCAAACGATTCCAAGTTTTTCTACGCCAGCGAGGCAAAACCATCGCAAGCTTCCCAACCGAAAGCTCAGCCTCTCAAAGCCCAGCCCAGACCTCTAGCTCCTCAGCAGCGAAACTCGACTTTCATGTACGCCAACGGTGGTGCTGTCGAAAAGAACAGGCCTACATCACCCGGTATTGGTTTCACACCTGTCCTGGCGCCGTCGCTTGCGCCGTCCCTCTCTCCGCAGCTGGCGCCGGTGCCGGAGCCGCCGTCGAGCAAGTTCTTCTACGCCAATGGTGCTCCGAATTTACAGCCTGGCTTCCGGCCCTCATCCGCAGCATCAATGACGGGATCAGTCACTTCGGCGTCGAGCAAGCTGCATAGGACATCAGCAGGATCGGCGAGTGGCTTCGCTATGGCCCAGCGACCGATATCGCCAAACAAGCCATCCCAACCTCCGACGTCCGCACCATTAGTCAAGAGCAATAGCATGCCGCCTCACACTGTTGGCCGAGCCCACATGACTAGCCCTCCGCCGCTCGCGCCGCCGTCACATAAGCGTAGGACGAGTACCGACACGCTCTCACAGGTGGCAAGTCAGGTTGGATCAGAGGCACCAGCGACAGATGCTATGATCATGTCCAGATTCATGGCTTCACAAACATCGACGCCCTCCGAATTGCCGTCTCCGACAGTGCCGAGTTTCTTCGCGCAACAGCCGATCACGATTGCGTCAATAATACAGGCAGCAGACGATCTGGAGGAAGAGGAAGAGGAGGACTCGGCTGATGAGGATAACGACCTCGAGGACCTTCACAGCCCGACCAAGTCATCGCACGGAGACCCCTTAAACGACATGGTTCTCAACGCGAGAAGAGAACGCAAGGTTCAGGATCTTGAAATCACCAATGCGTCTCTCGAGGCGATCAACAGGTCGCTGGAAAAACAGCTACGGAAGCAGACGGCAGAACTCAGGAGGTACAAGAGGCTATCAAGGTCCGGGCGTCTGTCCGTCCCTCCTTCGGGCGGGTCGAGCCGGATGACTTCCGCCGACTCCACTCCTGCAGGCCTAGGCATTGAAGGACTGGACTTGTCGGATCTCAGCGAGGAAGAGGCCGAGGAAAATATGGACGATTCCATGTTTGAGTCATCAGAGCTTTCCGAGACGGATTCCATGTCAATATCAAGTCCCAAGGAGGATCCGGAACGAGACCTGCGCCGCCGGACTCGAGATGAGAAGCGCTTGCAATTGGATCTCTCGAAACATAGGGAATTGCTCGTCGACAGCCAAAAGATCAACGTGAGCATCAAGAGATGCTTGAACTGGACGGAGGAGCTTATCAAGGAAGGCAAGAAGGCCCTCGAGTACAACGTCCGCCCTAGCGACGTGGAGCTACCACCACGTGTGCTCCGCCCGGCATACCTTGAAGAGAACGAAGATGGAGAGAAGGGGCAGAAGGATGAGTTCACAACCTCATTACCGAGTAGTCCGTTAGATTCCCCGAGGAGTCTGTCGCCCCACTGGAGCAATCCGCAGGACCGCGATAGCGGCATCGAGCTGCCTGCGGACGAAAAGAAGTACAACACAACACCATAATCTACGAAGCAGACCGGATCTCACCGTCGCGGCCTGGACGTTGCGGCGGCATCGCACAACATCACCACTCACGGAACACACAGTTTTCCTTACAAAACATTTTACTTTTCTTGCATGGCACGGGGGAATCAGTCCAGGTTTGGGATAAGTCGGAACCACGGCGTTTTCTTTTGTTTTCCATGGGAGGGCCTTTGAGAAAGACAGGGAAAAGGTTCCATCCCAATCGGCGACGGCATCGACTCTTCCCCCTTCGGAGGGGGCTAAAAAGAACGACCGCCGCATACACACACTGCTTTTATTATACCTACTTTTTTTTCTGGTTCTCTCTCCTTTGTCACACTGTTTTTTGTGTACCAACAGATACCCCAAAGCACTTTACATATAAACAACGGAACATAAAGGGGCGGGCCGAATGAACCATGTCTTCATGGCCGCGCTTAGGTTTGGTTTGGGAAACGTTTGTTGACTCTTGCCCAGAATTTATGGAGCAGAGCACAGAAGAACGAGACAGTGGGAGGAAGACGAGATGGGGTCCAAAGCCCAAGCAGTGGCGAAGCCGATTTGTATCATAGCAAATTCAAGCTAAGAAGGCCGGTAAAAGATCTGGCGATAACTTCAACTTGTGTGCCTTGGATGCTCTGTCTTTCCGTGTGACATGTCGGGTATGTTCGAAAGAACTCCAACATCTCTTCAGCCATGACGTCTGATGATGGTTGTACTGGAGGTTAGAAACCGTATAATGAGAAGGGGATTCTGTGAGACATGAGGCTGTCAATGTCAGAAGGGGTGGGCCGAGACTTTTCTTACTTTAACGTCTTGGCGTTCCAGTTCGTAAGGGGGCGGCGAATATCTCAACGGTCTCATTGGAGAGTGGGTTTTCAGAGTCAACTTTCCCTTTTGAGGTCGCTTAGATGTCCATTTTTTGAGACGTTGCGGCGTCGGCTAAGTTCCAGACTTGGCAGGAGCCATAGCTGGCCATCAAGGGACTCGAGGGGTCTAGAAGATGGGCTTAGAGTGTGCCTTTTGTGGTCAAGTCTAGTTTGATACCCTTTTCGCCCATACTGGACCGTTGATAACCGTTTATGGTGATTGTCCCCGGTTGCTGGCACATATCTACTTGCCGTGTAGGTGCCGCTGTAGATCTTTATAAATATTATATCGATCGCTGCCTCTAGGTAATGTCGTCAGGAGCCAACCTTGAAGGGACTCTCTCATAGGGTCTTAAAGATGGATTGTTGGTACGAGAGGCAAAGGTGTCGTTGTTCCAGCAAGTTTATGCTCGCTTAGAACGAACGGTAGACTTGAGGGGCATATCCGTGTTAATTTGGTCAGTGATTTAAGCTTCATACGACCTTGTTCTGCGGCTGTGTGGTATTCATCTGTGAGCAAGTAGCTGAAGAGGAAGGATGGTTTTGCTGGGTAGGTCTTGTTGAAGGCTGAAAACTCATTGTTGAATCAGGAGATTGACGACGGCCAAGGTGAGGTTCCGTGCTTCCCAGATATCATAGTTGAACTGGCTTCTGGATCAAATTCACGGTTAGTTTCCCTGGAACAGTAGGGGTCTTTTGGTGCCTATATCAGAGTGCTCATAACCACCTCATTATCCTCGTAGGGCCGCTGTGCCCACCTACCTGATTCATCATGCTTTGCTACTCACGCTTCTTCTTCCCCTTTTGGAAATGTTTACGCCTACATAGAGATAGGAAGTTGTAGATAGGCTCAAGGCTACGGTGTTGAGTTTCTAGATGTTGCTTATCGGGTTGGGCTGTATGGCCCGATTGAGGCTGGAGCGGTGATTGCCGCCATCCCCCTGCTCATGCTGTGAACCAATCCTTCATAGTGACGCTGAACTCGCATTTCATCACCCTCATCGATATGACTAAAAGGGGGTGCTTTTGCATGTGTGAAACTGAGACAACCGAGGGAGATACCAAATCAGAGCACATCCGATTCTTCCTGTTGGCGCTGATGCCTGTTGGGTTGGTTGATGCGATTGTTGGCCTCCCGCATATGCAAGGTGATAATTCGCCAGAGGTCGCTTGTCCAACTCAAACTATCTGAATTATAAATCTCAGCAAGTAAACTTAAGGGGTACTTGCAAAAGTTTCCGTTGGATAGCCTCCTTTCTTTTCAGAAACCTGTCGATGAGGGGTAGACCGTAGGCAGGAAGCTTTGTAACTTGCCTGTAGGTGCTTTCCTCCACAGTAAAAGCCCCTTGGTTTCCTCTGAAGTTTTCAACCCGTCCTGGACCTCTATCACACTTCCGCTCCTCGGTTCGTCTTCATTCGGCTCAAGAAGCGGATTGACCCCGTCCTTTGCGCGATGGCTACTCCGGATAGTATCAAAGCCGCGAGAGAGGCGGTCGAGAACATTGCCACACAACATGGCCATGTGGGCCAAGATAAACTGCAGCAAATTCAACCTGAACTGCGCCTTGAGATTGAGAAAGCATTATTTTCGAAGGATCTGATAATCGGATCCAGCGTCATCACGTAGGTTTCTGGTTGACATTGGACCTCGGGGCCACATACTAACCGTCAATGGCCAGACTCGCAAAGAATCTGTACTCCAGCAAGGCTCGCTTCGTTTTCGAGCTCCTCCAGAATGCCGATGACAACAAATACACCAAGGCCTCAAGCTTGGGCTCCAAACCATTCGTGTCTTTCCGGATTTTCCCCCGCAAGATCGTGGTCGAATGCAACGAGGATGGGTTCACTCAACAGAATCTCGAAGCCATCTGTGCTGTTGGGCAGAGCTCGAAAACTGGTGCCCAAGGCTACATCGGAGAGAAGGGCATTGACTTCAAATTCGTCTTCATGGTTGCCCATAAAGTGCACATCCAGTCGGGTCCATTCTCGTTCTCTTTCGGACACAAACCTGGTGACTCGGGGATGGGCATGATATCACCCATGTTGGAGGAGACTAGTGAGGAACTTGAATCTCCATTGACTATAATTACGCTCCATCTCCAGGATACTGGAGACTAAGATGAATTGGCCAAGACACACGAGTCGATTCGGACTCAATATGAGACGCTCCAAGCAAAAATGCAGCCATTTGTGAGGAACATCCGACGAATTAAGATAAACATTCTACGATGACGACGAAGAACAAATGTCCTCGATGACTTATAACCTTCCTCGGCTCGAGCACAGTCATGTGCTGCCAAGAAGATCAAAACCGAAAAGGCGGCGCCGGGAAAGCACCTACACGACTTTTACAGGACGTTTTCCTCCCAACGAGCCAACGGTATGGAGCAGCTAGATTCAACCTCACAAAAAGATGCTTCTGTCTTCAGTTGCCATATCCCCAGTTTTCAAATCACCGAAAAGGAGTCAAGAATGCCATAGAAAAGCCTCAGTTTTACCATCTATTCGACCTCTATCTGTGTGATGGGACACAGACATTCAGGCCACGAGCCTCCCTCTCGATCTCTTTCAGCAGCTCCTTTGCATGACCGACGACTCCAACGTACGCCATCTCATTCAAGATATAGCAGGCCTTGCTTATTATGTCGTATATGGCGAACAATGTAGTATCCGAAGCGTACACAGGCAGTAGAGTCCGTACCACAATGAAGCATTGATTGGCGGCCCAGCGATCGAACTTGGTATCATAAAGACACCGATAAGTCCAGAGAAGGATTATCATAGACTTTGCGTGATGTAGCTGAAGGGACCTGGCGTCCCAACCGTCAAGATGTGACGTAGAACTGTTCTTGCTGTAGATAGTAACGACCTTCAAGGCGATGGATTCGTAGCTCACACTTGCGGTTGTTAATCATCCGAGCTAACTCATTATCGAGACCCCAGCGAACCAGACAAGACGATGAGATTGATCGACGAAACTCACTGGAGTGAAAGAACCGATGAAGCGACGCTATTTCCCATATCGAGATGATCCGGCAAGGCTAATTTCCAGTCACGCAACAGTCTATAAACCGCGACACAACGTACAGGGTCTAGCGATACCGCACTCATAGACTGTTCCATGATTTGGTAGAGGGAATATTTCAAACCGAAAACCTCTAATTGACAGGGTGTCTCGAGGATATGAGTTTGTGGGCTCAGTGTGCCCAAGTCGTGCCAGTGACTTTGATTGTCAACGATTTTTGTGACGAGCGGCTCAGAAGTTAGAAACTTCGCTGAAACTGACTCGGCAACTTCCCTGTAAACCCATTTTTTTGGTTAGCGGCACTTTCAGCCAAACATGCGTCTGTTTATAGGATCAAACTGAAACCTTATGGAGAGCTCGTGTGCCGGAGGAATGAACGTACATGAAAAAGCAGTAAAACCCCCAGCTAATATGAGAAATAGTATGCCAGTCCCTCATCTGACTTGGTGTGCCCATGGTGGAAAAGTTGAACACAGTGAAGTCGCCCCTTTCGAAGCCCAACGCCAACCATGCCTTCCGAACTATTTTCGGAAGGTTTTCATGAATTTTAACTGTTACTAGAGATTTCTCGTTGCAGGTAACGAACCAGAGAATAGATGCTCCCTGTAAGAAAGTCAAGGAATCTACGCGTCTCTCTGATTCGAGCGACTGACACGCTTCGTCTGCGAAGAGATGGGCGAGAGCGATAGCGTTTGGATCGAAGGCGTAACACTTTCTTGCTGAGTGCAGCTAGGGTTGAACCAGTGTCAGAGGGTACATGGGGAGCTGAATGAGGTAGCGAAGCAGACAGAAGATCTAGTAGCTTACGGCAGATACGGTGAGGACGGCGTTGACGAGAAGAGAAGAACAAAACACCTTTTGACCTCCTACTGTAAGCCCAGGCCCATCGCTACATAGGTCTGCAACGAAACGCCCCTTGTCGACTATATTGGACAATGTACTGTCCCAGGTCCAGAAAAGATGCAGCAGGCTGGTCAGCGCTTGATTGTCGTCCGAAACATTTGTCCAACGAGTGACAGGCAAGACACTGCAAGAGTCCAAGTTGTCAATGGACGCTGAGCTCTGGCCGTCAGCTAGACTGAATTCGCTTAGCGTCATGACGTTTGATAGATTTGTCGGATATCCTGATTTTGATTGTGGATCTCTGATCGGTTCTTGATTCGTGGCGCCGAGGTTTGGACCGAGATTTTGAGACACTGTAGAAAAATAGTGAGCAGTCTTCCCCGACGATTGAAGTCTTTCCACTCGTGGAAAAATCTCACTTATTTCTTCGTCTGCCCCTTTGACCACGAGATCCGCATTTGCAATCGACTCAATGGTATCATTAAGGTCCTTGGATGCTCGCAATTGGTGTACAACATCTTGAACAACTCTGTCGTCGCTCGATTGAATCAACTCCAAGACATTGCGAGCACTCCGGTAGGCTCTGGACGTGCGAAAAAGTGCCTGCTTCTGGGCCTGCCGCTCGGAAAGCCCCTCTGGGGCTAGGTACACGCATGAACCATTATCGTTCATGCATCTAAGGCACCTTGGCCGGGTGCCACTACACTGTTACAATCAGTCGGACGTTCTCTGAGAACAATTTCTTGCCAATAGACAGATGATAAACCAGTAACAGTCGGAATTAAGGATTCAGAAGTGAGTAACTGACTTTGACTCTCAGCTTCCGACAGGCTAACAAAAATTAGCTATGTCCAAGTCACGAATGGCGTTTTGGAGTGCTTTCCATTACAGGCCGTTGGAACCTGGCTCCTACTTCTCTTCGCCTTGACGGAACTTATCAATGCTGGTGTTCCGGTGGCAGTGGATGGCAAAAGAGGCCTCAGTTTCGAACAATCTGCCATGACTAACAAGTGAAAAAGGGGGGCTAGCCATCAAATTAAAATATATCAACCAGAACTGAATACAACTCAGAGAGAGGCCACTGGATATTCCGCTCATTGAAAGCTGCTTTGTACAAAAAGTACGGAAAGATATTCAAACTGGCAGAAGGCGTAAATGCGGAGATTGTGTCTTGTCATATAGTATTAGCTTCGCATCCTGAGGCTCACAGATCATCCCTCAAATATGCCCAGTCCAGTCCGTCATGCATATTGCTTTTTGGCGAGGTCCTGTGGCAGGTCCATCGTGTTTTCTGGTGGCGCAAGTGACTCTCCGCCGTTGCCGGCAGCTGGAAAAGCACTGACATGACGACCAAACGTAAGCTGGTCAGGCGCAATGCCGTCGGTTTCTTCACAACTCGATGTCTTATCAATCCGGGAGGATGTAGCCAGTAAGGATTCTTAGGGTTATTAGCTCTTCAGGCCGATGCTTCAACTCATAATCTACATCGTTCACTGCCAACGAAACGCTAGCCGATATGATACTTCTGAATGCTCTACAGTTCAGGTCATTCCCATGTGTTCAATGTGGCTAATCAACTTCTAGTGCGACTCTGCACTGTCTCTGATTAGCACGTCATACGGTTTCAGGTCATCGGAGCTAGATCGACCAAAACGTGCGTACATTCATTGAGCGTGGTAGCCAAGAGACTAGCTTCCTCTTGGGACCTTTACCCCGAATTCTCCCTTGAGATGGTTACTTGACCAAATCCGACCTTATTATACATATACTCGGACTTCCCTTTCCTATATTGAGCTTCACAGTAGATGATGGATTTGAAAGATTATTACGAAGCGAAGGTTAACAACGATCCACAAACCATACTGAACACCGGATGCTCCATAACGGCACTCAGCTACAGGAGTTCCATACCATACCGGCCCACCCTGACCTCATATCCATCTTCTCAGCACGCCCTTTCAAAAGGCAGAGACAGGTAGTTCTGCTGCTTGTCTGGATAGCCGCAAGCGAAAAGTCAAGGTGAGGCTTGCTCGAGCGTCACAAGCAAAAGGAAGATTTCTACATAAAGATGCGGATGAGCAAGAAGTTGTTTAGACAAGCCTTCGCTTCTTTTCCGTCATACTTCAACAGCACGGGGAAACCAGCAATAGGCTGGTCAAAGCATGCATAATCAAATCGAACCATTGATCGGTTACAGGCATCTTCGCCTGTCATCACGTCGTCAATCTATTCGCAGCATACATGTACCTTGCGATCATCTTCAAAACTTGGTTTGGCTACTTCAACCACAATCCTCTAAGATGACTTTCAGTGTCATGATGATGCGACCGGGCTCACCGGCTCGCATTGCAATGAGTTGTGGCAACTACATCCCGTCCGAATCCTCCAATCTCCTCAGAGCGGCCACTTCTTTGTTACAATAATCAATCAATGTTGGTTCCTTGATTGGCTACAGCTCAAGTGACGCATTGGCTACGTCACGGCTTTATAGAAGTTGGCAGGAAGAGGAAAGAGGAGAAGAGAAAGCTGCGTTATTGAGTATGCTGTACATGCAATAAAGACGTATAACCCAGTCGTCTTATTGCCTGATTGCTTTAACGTTCATATCGAGCTTTTGACGGGTTTTCTCCTTGTTTTGATGGAGGGGAAGAGGGAACGGCATCGCCTACGGTGTAAAGAGCACTAAGAGCACATTCATCATGGACAGAGGCGTCTTACCGGGGTGCGAAGTACAGCTGACTTAGAGCGGGGTAAAGCAAGGGTCGCCTCAACAAATACCGTGACTGTGAGACACGTCCACAACCAAGCTCAGGGGGTTGCTTGGTTGGTCATATGTCGTCCGCCAAAGCATTGTATTCGTTGATTTACGTATACATATACGCTTAAGACGCCCTGGCTAAGCTAAGCGGTGCTCATATGATTATCTACAAGTTCTCCATCTTCGTTCAAATCCCTGCCTCCCAGCAGCCCATATAAGTATCATCAATCTCTATCTGTTATCTTCGTCACGAATTATCACTGCTACGATTGCTCATTGGGCCAGTAGCGTAGTCAGCAAAAAGGGTTTCATCCCATTCACAGCTCTCCGACTTGTTTTCGCACGGACGTCTGACTTCGTCGCGCCACCACAGTCTGATCTCACATTGCTGTACCGAACCACCATAGGGGAGCTGCTCTTCAGATATTTCAAGATCGACCTAGAAAGCCGAAGTCTACACAGTAATTACCAAAGCACTGGTTGTTACTTTTCAAGGAACTTTGTCTTTGCAGCTATTCCCCATCGCCTATCAGAGCTTGCTTTTCCGCTCATTTCACTGCCGTTGTGCGGGTCTCGTCCCCTACGTGGAGTTGAGTGATGTCTGGTCCGTTGAAAAACAGGCCGTTGTTGCCGCTGCTCTCAAATGGCCAGCCATATCTCCCCCAGACCACAATGCACAAAAGGAAGCGGACGCAAGTGCTGGCAGCTTGCGACGGTATGTCAATCATCATTCTCATTCATGTCAAGTCATGAACTTTCCAGCAGACAACTGACGCAATACTAAGGCTGCCGAAAGCGGAAAGTGAAGGTCATTTGCAACTCTTCTCAATTTCTCTATCATCTCCCTCAAGCTGTGGCGAAAGGCTGTGCAACGCTGACTTGACCCCTAATGCTGAAAGTGTGACGGAGCCCGACCAGCTTGCCGTCTTTGCGTCTCATCCCAAGCGTCATGCGTATACACCGTTGCCGAGGGAACAACTCAGAGGGAGGCTCAGAAACGAAAGCTCATCAATATTTCGGCAGCGCATGAGAACAGTCAACGAGTTTTAGAGTTGATTCGAGAAAACCGTGATGGCGTTGCAGACGACATCACGAGGAAGCTGCAGGAATCCGACGATCTTCAACGCTCGATCAACTCAATAGCCGACGCCAGTCTTCTCCTACCAAAAGTTCATGAGGGTCAAAGTAAGTGTTACAGCAAGTCCAAAGTGGCAGGGCAACTGATGATTCAGTCACTAATGTACAGTTTCTGTTTCCAGGAGATTCGAGGTCTGGTGTGGAGTTGAAGCCACAGGGAGGCTGTACCGCTGGGCTGTTAGCAGCGAAGTGACTATTTTCGGATGCTCCGTTGCATGCACTTCAACAACTGACTTTTTTTCACACCAGTCCCAATACCGAAAGAGGCGACGGGCTTCCCCGCCCTTCTGATCACATTATGCCCGTATCGCGCTGGACCAAGATTTCTCAAGCCGACACGACATTGACATGTCTTGTCAACGCCTTTTGGACCTGGAACAACACTTTGTCACATCTAATTGATAGAGACCTCTTTGTTTCCAGTCTAAAATCTATCGACTCCAGTGCTGATTTCGATCGAAACGGTCAATTTTGTTCGTCTTTACTTGTCAACGCCATCCTAGCCGTCTCAACGGTATGTCATATTAGGCTCTACCGACTTTGACCATAGTTCGAAACACCATAAAATGGCGTTCTAATAACTCATTGGGTAGCTTTATGCAACGGAGGCTGTATTAGGACCAGTTTCAGCAGAAAACAGAACAACAATGAGCCGCGATTTTGCCGCCTATGCATTCGAGCTCCTAGAATCGGAGCAGCATATGAGTTCCTTGACTCTACTGCAGGCTGCGGCCGTCTTGTGGACTTTGGCCAGGAACGAGGGATCTCATGAGCCAAAAAGTCGATGTTTGAGCCTACAGAATCTGCTGAAGCAGACTTGGTCGTCTGTTTGCCTGGAGAACACAAGCTACGGTCGAATCACGTCTCCCAGAGAGAAAGGTGGTGCTGCAGAGAAGACGCACCAAGCAGCTTCCCACATCACGTGGGGGTTCTACTGCTTTTTTTCGTGAGTGCTCCTTAGATTGTTTCGGGTCGGTGTCAACTTGCGATATTTATGGCTGATCGACGTCATCTCTACCCAGAAAACTAGCCACAGTCACCTCCCCTGAGATGCTGATTCCAAGGCCTCTCATTATAAAAACATTCGAACGTCTAGGCACTCAAGGCCATTCCAGCTCACAGGATTCAACGTCAAATGTCAGCAAAGATCCTCAAGGCCCCGAAGTATTCGTCGCGGAATGTAACCTTTGCGAGATTATTGCCCAATTCGTCATCGACCATGCTGCTAATAGATTGGATCGTGATCGCTGCACGGCGCTTTACAACAGACTCACATGTTGGCAACTCTCCCTCCCTAGTGATCTTACGGCGGACAACAGTATTCGTGAATCCGTTTCATTTCTTCGGTAAGTAATTGCCAGTACTGACACATCTCCTTATCCCGAATTGAGCAATCATGTAGTTTACACCTCTATATGCTGATGACTACGTTCCATTAGAGCAACATACGATTTTATTGCTCTGAAAGTCTTGTCCGTTTACTTGAAGCAGCCTAACACCGATATGCTTGACGCTCACAACGCCGAACTTGCCCAAATTGGCCATGCGAGCTCCATGATGGCTAGCCTTTGTCCCATTGGCGGTATATCGATGACGAGGCACGAGTACTGGACAGCCGAATATTGCTCTTTTGTTGCAAAGGATCTCTTTCCTCGGCTCGACACGGGTGTTGCAGCGCCCACAGTACGTGACATAATCGGCAAAGCTTGCTGTATCCTCAGGGATATGTCTCTTGCTGGAGTATCAGACCGCGCACAGGTATTACTTCTGGATATTGACAAGCAGGCATGGTCGTCAGGCAAGGTTTTATCTGCGCACGGCAAGCAGTGCGCAAGAGCGGAACTTATGTCAGCGGTTACAATACACGACGTGCGGGTTTTCAATGGCAGGAATGACCTCATGACCGATTCTACAGATGGAGTTTTCCTAGTCAAGTTCAAAGACAAGATCCGTAGCGTTGAACTTGTGATCAATTGAGTTGCGGAGTATTGTCATATTTGCCACAATGAGCGGTAGCCACAGATCGTAAAGGCAATGCTGTCAACAGCGTTTGTCAACCTTTGTTGCACCCAATCATCTTTATGTTCCAGTTCAATGCAAGAGTTTTATGGCTTAGACACAATGTGATGAGATGTGTTGGGTTTGATTGAATTTTACTAATGCTTTCGACTTCGACTTAAGTCTTACTTTGATTCAAAAGGTACCTCGACGCGCCCCACCCACAGGAGACTCCATAACCTTAAGCTGAGATTTGGCGTGTGCAGATATATTCACCCTGTATCCATACTCCCTTCAGTTTTCGCGTGACACTGATGTCTTCGAACGGATTGCCTTCAACAAGTACAAGGTCGGCCCTACAACCGCCTCGAAGGTTGCCTCGGTCGCCAAGGCTGAACGCCTTGGAAGCCACACAGGTTGCAGAGCGTAGAACGTCCAGAGTTGGCATGCCAGCCTCAACGAGCAAGCATAATTCCTCATGGAGACTCTCCCCAAATGATACCTGGGCCCCTGGAACAACATTCGCTGTTGTACCCGCGCAAATCGTAACGCCGGCTTCATGGAGTGTTCGCACGCTTTCTGTCGCGTTATCATAGTTGTTCCCGACCGTGGCTCCTGGAGTTACTAAATCAAAGGATGATTGTTCCGACGGCGTTTGTTTCTTTGCCATGGTCAGCGTCGGAATAAATATTTTGCCCTGTGCAGCCATTTCTCCAGCCATCGCCGCATCGATGGGTGCGTCAAGAGGGGCATGGGCAAAGATATCGAAACCGGCCCTCATGCCACGTTCGTAAGACGCTTTGCCAGTTGTACGAGCCACAGCCAACTTGTCGTAGGCGTGAGCGACGTCTACAATGGTTTTGAGTATTTCATCGCTGTGCGAGTGCAGACTGACGGCAACTTTGACCAAATCCGCGCGGTCCGGGCCACTCGACTTGGCCGAAACAAAAGCTACTGCATCTTCGCGCGTGCGAATCGCCACAGTATCTGAGTTACCGCGAAGATCCGGCCGATGGGTCTCCATTGGTACTGCCTCTGTACCGGAACAAAGCACAGTAGGCAATTTTGTCTTGCCAGCGGCGTATACGCGAAGAGATTGACATTGCTCAGTGTTGCTGCTGAGATCGATGACGGTGGTCACGCCATGGCTAGCGAAGATATCCAGCGCCGTATTGATACCCTTGATGTTCACGTAGGCGTCGATCAAGCCGGGAATCAATGTACAGCCACGGCCGTCGATAACATGATCTGGATTCTCAAATTGGGAGTCATCAATCATCGGGTCTTGGATGTTGCCAGCCGACCTGGTGAACAAGATGTTTCCAGTATTTTGAATGACATCGCCATCAAAAACACATACGTTCTTGATAAGAACCCTGGTCATTGCTTTGCAGACTTCGATCTGATGCAATAGACCCGAGTGATGTTTGCGCCTCCAATCGTAATGACTGGGGTTTCGTAGTTGCAGCCTCTTATTCGTGGCAATTGGCTATTGTAGATGAAAACAGAGTTCAGAAAATTGTTAGATGATGATGAAAGCCGTTGCAAAGCAAGAACGAGAGTCAAATTGGTAGGGCGTATACACAATGTAATTATGGCCGCCATTTTCCAACAGAAACATGAGGTAGAAATGATGGCCTGGCGATGAGACGGAGCAAGGTTCTGCAACGTTGGTTCTGTCAAGTCACCGTAGAAGCCGACCAAACCTGGACGATTCCGCCAATCGGAGCCTTCAAAGTTTTTGGACAAGCATCTTTGTGCGTTTGCTAAAAGTGGCGGTTCATGAAATAGCTTGGCTGTCGCAAGATTCACAAGCTTATGTTCGATGATTTCGTCAGTGATTAATTCAATGTCAATCATTGTGAAATCATTGACGTTAAAATGCGGCACAACCTCAACAGATACTATGAGCTACAAACTCATTTCTTGGCTGCATCTCCTATCCAGACTGACGCTACTATGTACAAGCTGTGATAACACTTGCAGACCACGGCAAATCTCAACAATTGGCTTGGATGACATTGGTCAGGGCATGTGGAATGTTGTCCTCCGCCGCAAGCCGCAAGTAGGGCGGGATGAGTTACAGAAAAATTTAAAGGTGGAATGGCGTGTTGATCGTTGCCGATCCGTCGTCCCCGCACCTCACGGAATCATCTCCGGCGGTTCTTCTCCAATCAAATACAGCATGCCAATCTCCGGATGGTCGGTGACGGTTCTTGTCTGTAAGACAGCTGTCTCTGGTGCACTGTGAATGACTTGGTGCCCAATATCGATCCCAGCAAATGGGACTTCATAAGTCGCGTCTAAGTACGGAGGAGCATAGCCGAATATCATCATGCAAGGCTATCCCACCAAATTCGTTACAGTAGTTATTTCACATCAAACAACCTGACTTATGTAGGTACGAATAAGGTCATCAGGGATGTCCTTATCCAAGAGAGCGTATACTCATCCCATATGTAGATATGGGGTTTCTTCCTGTAATCGTTCATTCAATACGCTCATCAATAGAGACACAATGACCGCTACCTATCTAAGTGATGCTCCCTACCTGGACTTTAAGGCTGTGGCTGCTACGAATGCAAGCATCCATATTCCATGCCTCGAGTTGGCTGTCATCTAGTTCAGTAATTCCATCGACTCCTTTTCACTCCAGTTCTCCCTTAGACGCTTCAAATCAGCTTTTCTGGCTCAGGCATATGGAACGGCTTGCTTGCCATTATCGGTTTCAAAGCGTCTCTCCGGTATCGAGGGCTTTCGTAAGCCTGGCCATATCGTCATACCCGTAATTGCCGACACACTCGCTCCGCACCTAGGCAGCTACAAAGCCAAATCAATTTAGATACTTAACCAGTCTGTTCTTTGAGGGAACGGGGCAGGGCATCTGGGTTGTCTGATTCCTCAAGTCTCCGGAAAAGTGATGTCGCTGTGATTTCACTCTCGGGGAGAGGAATCTCCGCAAGGAGCTGAATATATTTACCGCCTCTTCCGAAGATTCTTCCGTCTGCCTGAGGAGCTTAAGCTCCGGAAGGATATATCGGGATTTGATTCGACACCTTCGGCTAATGGGTGTCACCCAGACAGCCTACCGCTCCAAGGGCGTGATGATAGTGAGACGAAGACGTTAACGCATGTATGGCTCTTGAACAGTACGTAACACAGATAGCGGTACCCGGGATCGATGGAAAATAGGTTTCTGGCTGCTATTTAACCTAAAAGTCTACCTCTGCTTCAAATTTCAACTTTTCAACGCTTTACTTCGTTGACTATTATCGAGACTCTGCATCGGTCGAAACATCTCTACTATATCTCTCACAGGCAACATTTCGAAGAATACGCTATCTACTTAATTATTAGCAGATTCACACATTTGCAAAGTCAATCATATCACAGACTTTATCATTATTACGGAAGACGTCGACAGTCAATTTCGAAGCCTCTCGGCCGGTCATCCTAGCAAGAACTCAGGTCGCCGCGGCGAATCCCTCTTATCCTTTTATACAGCTGCAGGGCTTTAGGAAGCCACCGACCCAAGCCACCGTGTTTATCGTCTCGGCCACCCTTATGCCGTGACAAACATAAGGGCATATGCACGGTATTATATTTTGTGAAATTCCATCACACTTATGGGAGCTGCGTAGACTGCAGTCCCGATCACATCTTCTGTCTCGAACTGGACTCTGACGATAAGAGACAAGCATTCCCGGCATGTGCCGAATGCGGTGTTCTCACTGAGATCCAAGGGTTGTTTCTTGCCAACCAAAGACTCCTGGACGACGGGACCCAAGTTTCTACCGACGAGGACTTTCGTATCGTGCAGAGGAGTCTTAGCGGATACCTGCGGGCGTATCAGTTGAGGAGGGATGCCCATGCACGAGATCTGACAAAAGAAAAGAGTGGCTTGCTTGAGGAGGAGTTGCAATATGTCCAAAGTGGGATTCCGCCGTCGATACTCGAAGGCGAGGAAGTGGATGAAAACAGCTCATTATGGGGGGGGAGGGGGGGGGGAATGATGGGCAACACTATGGGGTTCTGAAATTGCCATGTGCAGCGTATGCGCCAACGAAAACCGGGCGAGCAAGATAGCTTAGGGAAGAAAAAGATAAGAATAGAAAATGAAAATGAACACAAAAGAAAGAAAAGCTGAGTGCTAAATTGATTAACCATTATATAGAATCGCACTGTAACATGTACCGCTATTGTATTACATTTATATTCAACTAATTCATTCTACAATTATACCCTTGAGATCAATAACGTATGCATAGATAGATAGATCGGTAAAACCACCTCAAGCATCAGGCGATAATGTTGCTTTAGGCCCTAATTCCGCATTCCATGGGGAGCGGTCAGTATCTTGCGAGGGTCCCAAGTCTGCCTCTGGCCTCCTTGGTGTTCCTTCCCTGAGAACTCATTAGTACTTCTTAAATGTATTGCAAGGCAGATGACTGAACTTAGTCAAGCAAACAGCCAAATGGTTGATGTGAAGGTCTCCTGCACATCGCGGAAATGAGTGATAAGTCAGATGGATGCAAGTTGACACTTTTCATTTTTCACACTTGTGCAAATTGGTTTGAAGAGCACCTTGGTGCTATGCGGTCACCGAGGGAGTTGAGCGAAACTCTTCGACGCACAAGGTCGGGGTTTATGACATGTCGCGATGGCGATGCCTTTCGATATTACGACCTAGACATACACCCGGACTTACGATAGCTCTACATAACTGTCCATGAAGTCACACGTACGTGTGCTGTCCTTCCAGAGTTGCGGGAGCAGTGTGATGCAGGGAAAATAGAACATCGACCAGCGTCTAGCCTGGCGTCTACACGCGGCACCATCCTCAAGTCGACTCTCGAAGACAACTCGGCTTTTCTGCCTACTTACTTACTTTTCCCTCGTACTCTAAATCATGAACTCAACACACCCGCCAAAACCTCCTCCGTCCCAACAACCTCCGCAAACTCCCCATCCAAGCTAGCCAAATTCACAGCATGCACAGTCTCAGCATCAAACCCGCCCTTCTCATACGTCGCAACCGCGTCCCTTACCAACAACACACCATTACCATCTACCCCTCCATCCTCGCCCAGAACCTGCAAGTTCGCGGCCATCCGCACAGTCGTACTCACGCAGTGATCAGTCGTCAGCCCAACCACTATAAGCTGCCGGATCCCCGCGGCCCTTATTGTCGCCTCGAGCTCGGTGCCGATGAAAGCGCTGTTGAAGTTCTTCGTGAAGACGGGTTCTGAGGGGAGGGGTGCTGCGTAGGGGAGAGGTGCGACGGAGGGGGTTGGTGAGTTTGGGAGGTAGTGTGTTGGGTGGAGGGCGGAAGTGGGGGATATGGAGTGGTGGTGGACGTGGAGGATGAGTACTGGGCGACACTCTTCGGAAACATGGGTTGAGGTTATGGCGTCGTTGTATTTGCGTGCGGATGCGAGAAGTGTCTCGACGTTGGATTCGAATTTGGGTGTGCTGCGTAATGAGCCCCAGTGGGTGGGATGCTTGAAGCCCTCTTGGATGTCAATCAGGACGAGCGCCGTGGGTGTGCTGGATGCGTGACGCATGATGATGAAAACGCCCCGACAGCCGTTAGTATCGTTTTGGCAACAAGGACTATATGACCTGTGATCGATGATTTTGTGGCTGGGATATCACCGTTCCTGGTGATCGATGGGGGTTTATTAGGGTAGTTGCTATTTACTATGCTTACAGATCAAATCATTAGACGCCCTTCTGAGTTCGGCTAGTCATAGAAAGGGCGTCCAATGGACTTCAGGGAGAGAGAGAGAGAGAGAGAGAGAGAGAGAGAGAGAGAGAGAGAGATAGAGTACTCGATTGCGACAAACTCGGCTTCTTCTTTGGCTGCCATTAACGTTTTAGAAATCAAGAAATGTGACCACACGTCGGGTTGGCCCGCTGCATGGATGTCATCGACAGCAAAGCTGACGAAAAGTCTCATTGATATGCTACAGGGTGCTGAATAGCGTCGTGAAGAGTCATGCGGGGTAAAGCGAATAACAAGGCCGTCCCGCCTATCCGCCAACCTAAACTCACAATCACAGATTTGGAGAAAAAGTTAGAACAGAATTAGGACGTATCTATCTCACATTAAGCACAGGTGTCTGTCTCTAGAACACCAAAAATCACGATCAATATTCACAGAATGCAAAAGAGATCATCGCTCCCGTGAAGGAACTACGCTTATATGCCTCGTGGCGGAATCGAACCGCCGATCTTCTCATGTCACTAGGTACTAGTGAGACGCTATACCACTTAGCCAACAAGGCGATGTCTCCAGAGCGCTGGCAGCGGACCCAAGTACCGCTGCAGCAGATCCTCTGCTCCAGCCGACAACACCCACCCCCACCAACCTCGCGAGAAAGCACGCAAGTTCCACATCTCAAGTGTTCAGTTCTCGAGATGCCAGAGACTCTTCCTTTCTCTCAAATTAGCTCTTCAGATCCTAGCCCTAGACATCAGAGAGCGGAAGTGTGTGGCACGAGGTGATTTATCAGTCAACATCCTCGTTTCTTAAGAAGGCTCACACAAATCATCTCTCAAGCGGTTCTGAGGGCCGAGGGCCACAGCAGCACCCACCACAACTCATCTAAGCACTGAGAGTTCTTCATCACACAAATGATATGGTGTAATTCCAAGTTGAAGAAGTCAAATACAAGTCCAAGCATTCAACCAAGTCCATCATAAAAGTATACTTTGTATTCGCTGATAATATCAGTCACCCATGCTGAATGGTGAGTGGGGAAGCCAACTCCAACAAACAACCGTCAAGTAGTAGCCTCGCCCAAACGTCCCGTCTATTCGCTCAAGTAGCCCAGAGTTTGTAACAATCAGGTAAAGGTAGGTAAGCTAAGCCCCCGAAGAAGAATCGAAGTTTCAAACGGTTGTGGTATCTCGTGCGCACTCTGTCCCTCTTTTTCCCCCCCGCGAAGCACTTTATGCCTTCTCGGGCTTGGGGACGTTGGGCGCATCCTCAGCGACGTCCGCTGACGGGTGCTTCTTGCCCTTCTTTTTGGACTCCTTGTCCTTCTTGATGGCTGCCTCGGCGACGAGCTGCTCGAAGACGAGGTAGTCGCCTTCCTCCTCGGGGGATCTCGCGGCCTGAATCCACATGTTAGCACCCTGCACAGAATAGTAACCCGGAAGAACAATATTACCTTGGAGAAGATGTCACCGATGATGACCAGTGCCTCGGCGCGCTCCAGTCTCTTGGCCAAGGGGATCTTCTTGTCGTTGAGGACAGAGTCGCACACCTCACGCAGCACACTCTGAATCTCAAACTTGGAGCCGCGCCATGCGGCAGTGAGGATCTTGCCTGTGACGCGGCGCTCGTACTCGGCCTTGCGATCCTCGGACCACTCCTCGCCGCCCTTCTCCTCCATACGCGCCATCTCCTCAATGGTCTGCTGTGCGTCGATGGCTGAGCTGATGGTGTTCCAAGTCTCCTTCACGATCGTGCCCTTGTCCTTGACGCGGCTGAAGAAACCGCCAATACCGAGGAACTTCTGACTCCGCAGCAGACCGGTGGCCTTGGCCAAGTACGTCTGGCCAATGGCGTGGAGGATATCCAGACCGAAAGACTCCATCTTCATGTTCTCGACCTCGAGACGAGTCTTTTCTTGGAACGCCTTGGTGACGTCAGCGCCCTTGTCGGTCTCGGTCCACACGCTTATTCTGTCGAGGAGCTTGCGGGCGAGGGTGTCGACACGCTCCTGGCGAACGCGGGCGCGCTCCTTGTCGTAGGCGGCGAGCTGATCGCGCTGCTCCTTGGTCAAGCTGCCCTTCTTCTTCTCCTTCTTCCGCAGCGACTCCTCCGACTCGGGCTGGCCGGCGACTTCGTCCGAGGGCCTGTCCATAAGCGCAGGCCGGAGGGGGATCTGAGTGCGCTTTGCGGTACCCGAGGTGCCGGACGGGCTCGGTGACGGTGTTCTGGCCTCAGCGGCGTATGGGGGAGGAGGCGCGGTAGCGGTGCTAGCAGCGTTAGGGTCGGCTGCCTTGTGAGCCTCCTTCTCATCTTCAACGACGACGGTCGGCGGAGGAGCAGCGGCAGCACTGGCGGCAGCGCCAGCCTTCTCTGCGTCTCCAGCCTTCATGCTCTCCTTCTTGGCTTCCTCGGTGCCGGGGAACTCGCCGTCGGCAGCTTCGGCGCCCTCGGCACCCTCCTCGCCCTCCTGCATGGTGATGTCCATCGTGGCCGTCAGATCCTTCATCAGACTAATCTCACCGATCCAGTCGACAAAGGCATCGCCGCCAAAGATGGAGCTGAAGAACTCGGCCGGGTCGGCAAAGCCCTCGGAAGGCTTCGCGCTGTCCTTTCCATACTTGTCGTAGGCTGCTCGGAGGTCCTTGTCGGAGAGGACTTGGTAGGCTTCGCCAATTTCTTGGAACTTTTCGTGAGCGGAGGGGTCGTTGGGGTTCTTGTCTGCAAGGGGGTCCAGTCAGCTTCTGTCACGCCGTAGAGAGCAGCAAAATTCAGGACGGGCAGGTTTGCATACCCGGGTGGTGAACGATGGCAAGCTTTCGGTAGGCCTTCTTGATCTCGATGTCTGTGGCGGTGGGCTGAACACCAAGAGTGTCGTAGTATGCGGTATCGACGACCATGGTCGCAAGGAATGAGGAGTATTAGGTAGAAGGGAATCTAGGTATTGTAACGGCGCAAATGTTTTCTTCGTTGGTAAACAAGAGAAAAATGGTTGAGTGAGGGAGTAAGAGGTCCTCTGCAGGAAAAATCGCGGGGTGATGAGGGTAGGGATAGACTTGCGAATCGTGATTCAAGCGAGAATCACAAGGAATCGGAGGTAGCGGCGGTCGAATGAGCTGGGCGGTGCGGCGTGCCACACCAAAAAAGTGACCCAACTGCTGCAAGGTGCCCGCCGATTACCTAGATTTTTGGGTGGATTTACGTTTTCGCGGTGCCCCGCCAGATTACGTCGTTGGGCGAGACCTGTGGGCGCTGGGCGGTCACCAACGGCCGGGTTTCAGTGAGCATTGTGGTGACTTTTTTGGCGAGTAACCTTGCACTGCCATGGGACGGCCAGGCTGAATTACGGTACCTACTTCTGAGCCTTACGGCTGGTACCTTAAGGCAACCTGACCTGCCCTCCCACTGGGTGCTGGCAAGGTGCCATTCTTTCCCTCCCGCCCTTTCCATAGGCTGCATGGACGATGGCGATGTCCACTGCGGCCTTGGAGATTACGCGGACAGGGACCTGCTGGCAGGGATGACGTTGCACGGTCCAGCCCATCTGCCGTGTGCTGTCTCTTTGCATCACAAAGAGTCGGCATTCAAGATACAGGTCTTCCCTCAATCCAAAACATTTTCATCAAGGGCTTCTTTGGAAGTTTCGGGGAAGAGAAGCATGGCTCGTGTCAGGTTGCTATTCCGGTCTCTGCAGCGTTAGTCGTCACATTGCAAGCGACGATAGCTGGTAGCTACACTACATCACGATATTTCCAGGCCTCCAAAGTGATCGACAACAGTCGGCGATCCGCTTCACAAGCTTTCAGAGCTCAAGTCAACCGGACAACGCCGAGATGACTCTTCTCCACCCCGGCTGCACCATCTCTCACGCAAAGGACACCGTTCAATCTTCAGTGCCTGACGCCTGACGCCAGCTCAACAGCATCTGGAACCATGCCATGCTCACTGTATCAATCTGGACAGTCTTCAACAACTCAAACTGCAATTTGTCTAGTTCATTCCAGTCTCTAAGTCTTGCTAGAGCCGCCAAGTTCCCATATGCGCCAAATCCGATTTGCTTTTTCCCCTCTTCTATTTACACGACACCGTTGGCCTTCATGCGCTCGAAGCATCCCCTGTAGGCATCGTGAACCTCGGGCACCGTGTAGTTGTACTCCTTGAGCTTCTTCTCCAACTTGGTGGTGTCGAGCTTGCAGTTGCTGCGGCCGGCCTTGATGACCTTGGCCTGCTCCTCGAGCGAGAAGTTCTTCCATGTGAAATCGGGACGGACAATCTCCTTGAAGAGAGAAAGCACCTCGTTGTGAGAAATGGCACCAGGGTTGGTGAAGTTGTAGATGCCAGTGTCCTTGTGCTCGGCCATGAGAATGGAGGCCGGGAGGAGATCGGTAAGAATGGTGTTGGAGTTGGGGATATCAACGACACGGTCGTACTTGGCAATCTTGGTAACAAAGTTGCGGGAGTGGAGGTCGTCGCTGACAGGCATGCGCAGGCGAAGGATAAGGCAGTTCTTGTAGTGCTTCATGATCTGCAAAGTACACAATTAGTAATTGATCCAGACGCCAGTGACTTGTGATTGATAGCCTACCTCCTCAACGTGACCCTTGGTGTCCGAGTAGAAGCTGCCCTTGAAGTTGGCAGGGTCGGTCTCGAGGTAGCCAGCACCGCCAATGGGGTGGGCATCGTCGTACTGGTAGATGCAGCCGGTGGCGAAGACGGTGCAGTGGATGCCCTTGAGGAAGCAGGCGTCGGTGAGGTTCAGGGTGCCGATAACGTTGGATCGCATCGTAGCCTCCTTGTTGTCCTCGCACCAGTCGACATTGGGGCGACCAGTGCAACCGGCGCAGTTGAGAACGTGGGTAGGCTTGACCTTCTCGAGCTCGGCGAGGACGCCCTCACGGTTCTCCATGCGGACGGTGGTGGTGTAGACCTCCTTGCCCTGTCCCTCGAGGAGGACCTTGAGGTGGTTCGCAACCCAGCCCTCGCCACCCCAGATGAGGAACTTGTTCGCAGAGTGTCCGTTGGTAGCCATTGTGGATGATGGTGGTGTTGTTCGTCCCTTAAAGATTATAGTTTGAAGTATCGGAGGGTCGTCGGAGAGGGGTCGGGCGGGACTTTGTCAGGATTCGACTGGCTGCTGGGATGGTGTAAGTTGATGACCGAGTCGGGTGGGATGTCGATTCGGACGTCTTATATGCTCGAGGCTGGCAAGGGAGAAGACAGCTGGGAGGGTGAGGAAAGAAGAAGAAAAGGACAAATTGAGTAATTTGTAAGACAAGCCACTCGAACAGCAGGGAAAGGGGAGAAAGAGTGTGAGACGGATTATTTATCTGGGGTAAGCGTGGCAGGTACGAGGCCAGGGAGAGGAGGAGGGGAGGACATAAAGTTTGGGTTCAGGTACGAGTCGTACTATCTGCCAATCTGCCACTCTGCCCTTTCAGCTGCGCGCGGTCTCGACCCTCTTGACCCTCCCGTCTTCCGGTATGCTGGTCTCTGTCTGGATACCTACTGCAGAGCAGCAGCAGTAGCACAGCCAGCAATAATTAGTCGCAGCGACTTACATTGGACAGATGGTGTGTTCAATGTCGTTCCCACCCCCACCTTCGGGAGGTACCACGGTCAAAGGTGCGACCCCGTAGCGAAACTTACGTACCTCGAGTACGAAGCTTACCGGGAGCTACGTTCCATATTGATAGCTGCTGTTATCGGAGGGAGTATCCGTAGCAGACAGCTATTTTCGTCCTGGCGTCCCCTCGCTTTGTCATGAGCTCTGATGAAGTGGACTCCGTGGAAGATAGTCACCAGTAGTGGCAGAATATGATTAAGCAGACCATGAAAAATCATGATGTTAGCAAGAGACATAAGGGAAAAAGTAGCTACTTAGCTACGTGGTGTCGCAGCAGCTCCAAGACAAGTATCGCGGAAGTGATGCGGCCTAAGATGAAGGAGGCTAGACGGATGAAAAGCCTCCCTTGGGGGATGCAGACAGTGAGACATTGCCGTCCGATGGCTCACCGCATTATGCTCCCTTGGAGGTAATGGCGGTGCCACGGTGGTGGTGGCAATGGCGTACGGCGGCAGACCAGCGAGGGTCGAATGCCGCGTCGGCCGTGGTGGAGACCAGAGGCCCGGAGCCGCAAAGAAACGTCCATCTCGGAAATCCTTAAGGGTCTTGGCCATGTGCTGCTGCGATGCCACCGTGGGATATCCAGAAAACCAGACGATGGGTTGCGCGCTGATCGGATAGTCGGGCCATGAACATGAAGGGGGGAGGCTGAGCCATGGGAACAATTGGACTGCTGCCGTGTCGGGGGGCTGACATGCGTGGAATTGCTGCTGCTGCTCTCCACCCACACCTCGATTGGCGTATGCAGCAGAGTCGATAAATCATCTGTTGTCGGCCTTCTTCTTTCTGTCGGTGTGTGAGGAGGAAGAACAGCAACAGAAGCAGCAGTAAGGTAGCAATGTCAAAGTTGCGAAGAAGATGCCAAGGGAAAACGTCGCTAAACAAAAGTCATGTGAGTTGGGCCGTTGGTTGCTAACCAAACGAGAAAGAGACGACCCCGACGGAAGCTTCGTTCGAAAAAGGCAGGAAGGCAGACCCTGAAATAACGAATTCCTTCCACTCCCAGCATGGAAGGAACCGCCCTCCGTGCCCCGCACCTGCTGAAATTCGAGAAGCAAACGACCGGGAAGGCAGGGACCTGCCCCGCCATCACCTGCCATCTGCCAATCAGATCTAGTCTTCCATCCCATTGGCTCGCCTAGCTTTAGCCCAACTGGCTCGGTCAGTGCGTTCTTTACGCCAATTTCAGTGACTGACACGCTGAAGGGGGCAGCGTTCAGCGGAAGAGGTATCATACACAGGCGGGGTATCACTGTAAGAGGCGCTGTCTGGTCGTCTTCTGGCTGTCAGTAGACCACCCAACAGCGCCGAGGCCATGCCTTAGATGCCCTAGAGGCTTACCTAATAACCTCTACGTACCTCGAAATGAGGTGAGTGTGACAGGAAAACAGTCCCAGGTTGCATTTTCCATGGCAATTTGGAGAAAAGGAGCTGGGGTCAGCTGCACTAACGTCCTTTCCCCCGTTTTGGCGCCTTCCTGCCCGGGTGAATTGGTCACTTTTTTGGGCTTTTGATTTGATGACAGCGGAGAACTTCTTTTCCTCCTATTCTTCCGCGGTCTTGTTGTTGAATCCCCGTCTGCCGTTCATCCAAGGTCAACAATCCAGTGTGCTTGTCGACATTTCTTCACGCAACAGCCCGTGTCCTCCTTGCTATAAAACGCACACGAATTTTGAGGTCATTGATTGGAACGTGAGCAAAAAAGCAGAAGCTGAGACCACCTGCCAACGACTGCGCGCGCAAACCTTCAATCCGCAGCCCACGACGAACCCGCACATAGCCAGCTACCTTGGTCAACTCCACGAACTCTACGAGGACTGATTGACTTTACTTTGCTGCCCCTACGAGACTCGACTTCATTCTTCCGTCGTCAACTCCTTAAGCCTCTGCGCTACTGTCCGATTCTGCTGTGCAATCCGCCGTCCGCCGCGACGACAGACCGCCATCATGGGTGTCATTTACTACCTCCTGCACCCCAACCAGCTTCGCTCCATCATCCAATGGTACGCAGCTTGACTTCCTCTCACTGAGCACGCGCGCGCAGACCGTTTTGCTGCTCCTCTACGTCACGCCTGCTAATACACTTCTAGGAAGGTCTGGCACGACCCCGTCCACCACCGCGATCCCTCAAAGGAAGACCCTACGCTGAAGTCGTGCTTCGAATTCCTCAACAAGACGAGCCGCAGTTTCTCCGCCGTCATTCAGGAGCTCAACCCCGAACTCCTGGTTCCCGTATGCCTGTTCTATCTTGTGCTGCGCGGCCTCGACACCATCGAAGATGATATGACATTGGATATCAAGGAGAAGGAGCCTCTGCTGCGCCAGTTTGACAAGTACATGGAGACGGACGGCTGGACTTTCACCAAGAACGGCCCTAACGAGAAGGACCGCGAGCTCCTGGTGCACTTTGACGATGTCGTGACCGAGCTGAAGAAGATCAAGAAGCCTTACTACGAGATCATCAAGGATATCACGATCAAGATGGGCAACGGCATGGCCGACTACGCTCTCAACGCCGAGCACAACGAGAACGGTGTTGCGACCATCAAGGATTACGAGCTTTACTGCCACTACGTTGCCGGTCTCGTCGGTGACGGCCTGACTCGCCTTTTCGTCGAGGGCAACATGGCCAACCCCAAGCTTCTCGAGCGCCCCGCGCTCACCGAGTCCATGGGACAGTTCCTCCAAAAGACCAACATCATTCGCGACGTCCACGAGGACTACCTCGACAAGCGCCGTTTCTGGCCTAAGGAGATCTGGAGCAAGCACGTCGATACCTGGGACGATCTCTTCAAGCCCGAGAACTTGCCCAAGGCTCTCGAGTGCAGCTCCGAGATGGTGCTCAATGCTCTCAAGCACACTGAGGAGTGCTTGTTCTACATGGCCGGTATCAAGGATCAGAGTGTCTTCAACTTCGTCGCTACCCCCCAGAGCATGGCTATTGCGACGTTGGAGCTCGTCTTCCGTAACCCTGCCATCTTCAGCAGCCACATCAAGATCACCAAGGGTGACGCATGCTATCTCATGACCAAGTCAACACAGAACCTCCAAATTGTGTGTGAGGTTTTCAGAGACTACACCCGTCGGATACACAAGAAGAACGACCCGCGCGACCCCAACTACGTGCAGATTAGCGTGCAGTGCGGCAAGGTATGTGGTGGTGTTTCTTTGTCATTATCTAAAGACACATTTGTCTCGCGTCAGAAAGTCAATTGCTAACGGTTGACCCTCCAGATTGAGCAATTCATCGACTCTTTGTTCCCGAGACAGGACCCCAAGCTGCTCGGAGATGCGGCGAAACAGAAAGAGCGGGGCCAGCCGGGTATGGATGCAGGCGAAGCCTTCGTATTGGGCGGCATGGTTCTCTTGACCCTCTTTTTCGTATCTGGTCTCATGGTGAGTAGCTCTGAAATTTTCTTCCTCATTTCCCTCTTTTTCTTCCAGCATCATCAACCTTCACCTTCTGCTATTCTATCCCAACTCAACTGACCACCACCCTCAGATTGGAACTGCCTGGTTCTTTGGCGCACGCTTCGACTCGTTGTGGAAGACGGACAGCATTTACTGGCCTGGCAGCGAGACCGGCGCGGCGACGCCGATCGAGCACAAGGAGCTGTAACTCTACCAGACAGACAAGAACAAAAGCTGTTCTTTGACTGCTACGCTGCATCTGACTGTTGACGGTACATATTGACGAGGAGTTTTCGGTTGCTCGCCGCCGGCATGGCTACGAAGTATTGAGGAGCCCATACTAATCTTGCTAATACACACCATCCTCGTGATGGGTTTTTCGCGACGCATCTTGACGTCTTTTTGCTTGCAGGTCGATCATCTATTCGACACAACACCCACCAAAGTGACATCCACCGTTCCTCTTCCAATCCCCTCAACCAAGCACGGATGTCAAATTGCAATTCAGTCCCATCGCAAGGTGGTCATGACTGTGGTTGTGCCGAAGAAGTGCTGATATCAAAACCCACCGGCAAAGACCCCGTCCATCACGCGGCGGGTACGGGGCGGGCGTATCTTCCATTGTTCTCGGGACGCGCTCTTTTGCTCCGGCTTGCAAACATTCTTTCATCGTATTCCACTGTTTCATGTGTTTCTTCTTTTGACTGTGACAAGCCCTGTAATAGCCATAAGGCTAGGTCAATTGAAAGCTTACTTGTCTTCGTCTGGTCCCGGGGCCTACGGCGATGAGGTGACAGGCGCTGTCACGGCATCAAGTAGATGAGCCTGTCGCCAAGATCGACATGACATGTCTCTTGAGTACTTTTCTGGAAGAACTTGTCTCAATTTCGAAGTCCAAGGAAGAGCCAAAGCGACGACCGATGATTTCAAATCGTCTCGCGGCCGGGAAACCGTTGCAATAAGAGAATACAAATTTCATAATCCAAGTCATCGTCCCAAAGCTCCCAACTCCAGTCAATTGGTCATCAACGCAATGCAGAGAGTAGTACTTGGCCTACTTGACTTGGCCTCTTGTCGAACATGGACTTGCAGGTCGGATATAATCAGATGAAGCACGCAGCGCCGCGGTGCCTCTATATGTACCTTTCCATTGAACCCATGGAGCCGCCCAGCCTTACCAGGTTGCTGCTCAGTCTGCTGTCTGTTTTAAGGCCCGCCACCAAAGTCTTTCGTCCGGTCTTCTTTCGTATTGTTGCAGGAGATAGCAGTACGTAGTTGCAAGCGAAGGAGATGCGGCTCTTGGAAGACGTCTCGGCGTTTATGCGCAAGGCCGAACCCGGTTTTCTAGGTACCTAGGTTACCCGACGTACACACTCAAAGGCATACCGGGGACCGTATTATGTGCTTTTAACCTTTTCCGCCCTTCTCCCCGACACCCGGGTCAAGTCTGGGGAATACATGAAACATGAGAATCCAGCTTCAGCCTTTTCAGCTCCTTCGCCCGGCGTCCTTCGCTCCCAAGCCGGCCATCCCTTCCTTTCTCTCGACTCGGGTCAGAGACGAGAGGCCGGAAACCCACGAAACCACGTGAGTTGCGCGGACCACCTTGGCCCCATCTATCCTCCGTTTTCTTCTCTCTCTCTCTCCCTCTGCGTCTCTCTCGCTTGCTCTCATCCGCTGCGCGCGGGTGGCGTGTGGCGGGGCACGGCGCGCGCGAGAACGGGAGACCCGGGATGGCCGTTGCTGGTAACCTGATCTTCCCCCCTTTGACGCCAAGACCCGAGATCTCCGTTTTACATGGCGGTGTCAGCGCCAGATTGATGGGGAACGTTCAAGGAAAACGGGACGTTTCGGACCGGTTAATAAGAGACATGCAATTCTTGGTGTTTGCTGAATCGTGCTTCAGCCAAGGCTCTGGGTTGGATTCATTTGTCTTGCTGGCTTCATGGAATACTACTCTCTTTTGTCATGATGTGGTTGTCTTTGAAGAAGTCGGTCTGGCCAAGACGTCTGTATGTATCTGGTATTTGTCAACACTATAGCATTATGTATACATGCCCTACTCTTGGTTTGTCTTTCCTGTATTCGCGAGAGCGGTCGATCGCCACGCCAATGCCAAGTATCTGGGACGTAGATGCCTTCAAATGTGTGACGACGAATGAAAAGAATTCAGGCACTCTCTTCCGTAGAACAGTGATTCCCATTCTCTCTCATTCTCGTATTTGACTTTTCACAGGTCGTCGGATCTCGCATCTCGCATCTTCCCTTCTCTTTCCCACCCGGTCTCGAACACCTATCCCCGAAACGTGACCGTAGAACAATGGGCTCCCGGCGTGCTGCTGAAGAAACTCCTCTCCTTTCCTATTCCGTTTCTCCGTTTCCCTCATCTTTTTCCCCTTCGGACGCCGGACTACAAACAAGCAAGGACGCATCTCTACTTGGTGCTTCTGTGCGTCTGTGTTGGAGATGAGACGGATCCGCCCGCGTGCAATAGGTGTAGGACTGTACGTCGGTCCTTTCAGCTGACCACATGCTTTTCCCTCGCATCTTACCTCATCTCACAGTCCTCAGAAATAACATGTGTGTGTGTGTGCTCATTCACTCAGATATAGTCCCTACCTCTGACGCACTCGCACCTCCATCCCATCTCCTCCCATCCTCGTCAACTCTATTCAGTCTCCCCAACACCCAAAAAAGAAGGTTAAGAAGGAAGGAAGGAGGGGAGGGAAGAGGAATCTCCCATGGAACCTAGTTTCGGAACCCGTCATCCGCGCAGATGCCAACGCACCATCTCTCGCTGACCCGAAGGCACGTACTGTGTAAACGAATCGGGAAAGACATCATGTACCGTCCCATGATGTGCGACATCAATCTTTCATCTCTCGCTTCCACGGCCCTCGGATAACGGATAACGGCACGCAATGAAGCGAGGCACCTTGGTTTGACCGCCTTTTACCTGACAAGTAGACAGGAAACAACACGCAGCAGATGCGAGAGAGAAGGCCACTACGCCAAGTTCATCCCATTCTTCGTATACCTTAATCTCCAAAACGCGAGAAACACAAACCTTCACACGCACACCACCCACCCTCCACCACCACGATTCTCGCCCATGGTTCTTGTCCGTCTTTAGGTACTCCATCCTTTTCCATCCTTTCCTTCCCTCCTCGGGGAGTTGCGAATGTTCTTTCTCCCTCCTAGTGTCCCCAAATGTCCGAAATGCGTCATGGCGTCATCCGCGTTTTGGGTTTTCCACTGGTCTTTTCGAGCAAGCCGAACAAGATACCACGCCATATCATTTTCCTGTAGAAGCCTAATGTCGTAGAGACTTTTCACCCGCTAGAGGAAACCGGCAGTCAGTGGGCATCTGTGTCCGTACATAGAATTGGAGAAAAACTCGAAGAGCACCACCTAAAATCATCAGATTTGCTAAGTTCGCACAGATTAGGTTTCCTGCTTGTTGGCGTGTAAAACTATCTCAAAAGATACATAGCTGCCATCGCCTTCCTCCCTCGACGTCACCTAGATTATGTGGATGTAGAGAGGTCAGGTGACATGGCCAGATTGGCAAGCTCCAAGCTAAATCACAAGTGACGAGTGTAACACCAGAAGAGCAGGTTCGATGGCACTACGATATCACATCTGCATATCTACAAGGGAAATACAAGGTGTAGTCACGTGGAAAAGATAGACTGAGTATGGTTGAACGTGAAAGTGAATAGTCCGTAGCTGTCTGCTCTCATTACCAAGACCTCATTTTCGAGAATCTCTGTCTTAAATACAATGTGATTTTTTGGTCTCAAAAGAAACCAGAAAAATGTTCAAGAAAACAGGTTTTAAAAGGAAAAATAAGAGGAGAAAAGAGCTGCAGGAAAACCCAAGACAGAATGAATTTTCGAGTCCTGATGAAGTGATACGAGGGAACCAGCCCGTCGAGGGTTTTTCTACTCTTTTTTGGGAAAAGTCCTTTTTCTTTTGAACCTGTTTTTTTGTCCTTGAGATGCGGGTTTGAAAGACCCTCTCTTTCTTGCTTTGTGTGTCTTCTCTCTCTCCTTTTACATACAATTGAAACCATCCGACAGACACCCGGAAACCCCAGGTATCCCATCTTGGATGGTGAAGGCTTGTGCTTTGCTTGCTGGTCCAGGCCGCGCGCCAATGCAGTGATGTGTGCGAATGACTGGGTATCCTCTAAAATGCCGTGAATTTGTGTTCATCTCCCCCTTCGGATATAAAACACATGGGGGGGAGAGAATCACTTATTAAACCAAGGAAAACGTGTCGAAAAAGTCAACGTGACGCCATCATGCCTTTTGAGGTTTCCAATGAAAGAAACGCTAAAAGAATCCAACCCCACCAACGCGAAACACATTGGGGCATTTACCATCAGGGCAGAACTTCTAGAGCTGTCCGTTGTTGGCAATCAGGTTGGTGGTGCCAGCAGTGTTGCGCTGGACAGAGGCACCAGAGGCGGTGGCGAGAGCGAGCATGCGGTCGGTGACAGCCTTGACGGTGTTGAGGCCCTCAAGACCCATCAGGTAGGCAGCAAGGCCAGCGACGTGAGGGGAGGCCATGGAGGTACCGGACAGGGTGTTGGTGGCGGTGTCGGAGGTGATGCCGACAGAGAGAATGTTGACACCGGGGGCGAAAATGTCGACGACAGTGCCGAAGTTGGAGAAGGAGGCCTTGCGGTCGTTGCGGGCATCAATGGCACCGACAGTGATGGCGTTGGGGGCGGAAGCGGGCGAGGTATTGGCAGCATCCTGGTTCTCGTTTCCGGCAGCGACGACGGGGACGATGCCAGCGTTGTTGAGAGCCTGGATAGCGCGGTTGACAGCAGCGGAAGCAGAGCCACCAAGAGACATGTTCATAACGGCCTTGCCAGTGAGGTTCTTCTTGGCGACGTCGTCAATGACTTTTATGGTGATGTTAGTTTCGGAAATTTGCATAGGTTAAACTGTGGGGCTATTGAAACTTACCGAACTGCATGCCATCGAGAACACCAGAGTTGGAGCCAGCACCATCGCCATCAAGAACCTTGACGCCAATGAGGTTGACGTTCTTGGCAACACCGAAAGTCTGACCACCAATGGTACCGGCGACGTGGGAGCCGTGTCCGTTCTCATCAGTGTCCTATATTTTCATTAGCCTCTCATTTCACTCGCTCTCCCAGGACAGTTTCAGGTACTTACAACGTTGTTGATGAAGTTGGCGCCAAAGGTAGCACGGCCCTGGAACTCGGAGTGGGTGGTAAGGATACCAGTGTCGACGATGTAGGCAGTGATACCGTCACCTCCTGTCTGGTCGAAGACGTAGCCAGCCTCACCGGCAGCGGCGTGAGACATGCGGACAAGGCCGGGGGGAGCGTTAGTCTGGGAGACGGTGGCAGAGATCTTGACCTTGGCATCCTGCTCGACGTAGGCGACCTCCTCGGCGTTCATGACGCTCATGATCATGGAGTCATCGGCCTCCATGACGGTGGCGCGCCACGCGTTCATCTTGAAGTTGCGGGTAGAGGTGCTGAGAGAGCGGCCGTCGAGGGAACGCTTGCCAATGTTGCGCTTCTTAATGGAGGCAGCGAACGAGGACATCTTGGAGGTAATGGCATCATCGTCAAAGGTGTTGTTGTAGACGACAATGTACTTGTTGGGAATCAGGTCGGCGGCGTTGAGGTTAGAGATGGGAACGCCCATGAAGGAGCCAGAGTCGTTGGTGGAAGCACCGCTGTTGCTAAGGCCGAAAGGAGCAGCGAGAGCGGCGGGCAGCACGGCTGCGATGAGAGCGGTAGCGCGAACCATGTTGGGCGGTTAATTCGAAGGGGGTTTGGTGGTGTATGTAAATACGGTGAGGTTGTTGATATTTAAATAAAAGAGAGGATACGGGAGAGAACTAGCTCGTCGTCGTCGAAGAGGTCGTCAAAAAAAAGTATTGGTGAAGAAGAAAAAAGTGCCGAGACCGCTGGTCTACTTTTTTAATTTGTGGCGGTGGTTGACGAGGAAAGAACGAGGTCTTGTCGTCGAGGTTGGGAGGTTCGGCACGGAAGGTGCGAGCGAGAGAGTGACTCGATGAGGTTGGGAAGGCGCGAATGAGTGCGAGCGAGAAATGCTGAGAGAAGGAGCAACCAAGAAGGATTCGGATACCAGTCACGACACAAAGCCCTTGTTTACTTTTTTTCTTCTCAAATCTTTTCCAATGCGATAAAAAGCTGCCGTTACCAAGTTGAAACAAGGTGTAATAAAAGAGTAGTCGAAGAAGCGGAAAGAGGAGGCGGTGGGTTGTTGTGGTATTTAGCTAACCGGCCACACGGAGGAACGTGAGGATGAGGATAGACTAAAAGAAGAGATTTATGGAGGATGGGAAAGAATAGAGAGAGAGAGAGAGACGGAGCAAGAAGAAGTAAGAGACGGAAGGCCAAGCACAGCTGGGCAAGATGGAGAGGTTGTGGACAGTAACTTAAGTATAACGACGGACGATGAAAAAGAAGGGGACGGGAGGAAGCAGGGAGTACGGATACTGGGACTAGGTAGTAGGAGTAGGAGTACCCAGGAGTAGGGGGATAAGGTAAGGTACATACAAGGAGGGAAGATGACCGGGGGTGTCAGCGGTACATGAATCCAGGTACCTGCTCTCTCAGCATCTGTACCTTGTAGCCTGTCCGTACGCAGTCCCTGGCCCAGGTTTGTCACTTGTGTGTGTGTGTGTCTCCATGTGCGTGTGTGCTTGCTTGGTGTGCTTTGGTGCTCGACCATGACCTTGACCTTGACCTGGGGCCCTGAGGTGTGGTCTTTGGGTCCCGGAGGGGTGTGTGGCGTGTGTGAGTGGACCACGCGAGGATGTATCTTTGTGACATTGTCTGGATGGATGGATGGATGGATGCTGCAGAAAGAGACTGGACAAGGACAAGAGAACGAACGACGGACGAGGTACCAGCCCCGAGGTGTATGTATTTGGTAGCGAGAACATCCGTACAATATCTTATTCTCTATGCTGTCTCACTCTCACTGCCTCATTGCAGGATCGTGAGGGTAGAGAGAAAAGATGCAAAAGAGACAGGCCGAGACTGAGGCCAGACGGGGCAGAGAGACTGTGCTCAGAGCAGACACAAGTGAATAACGTCAAGGTACCTTACCTGATGAATACTGCATCTCGAATTTTGCACAAAAAAAGTGGACGGGCCTTCGAGGCTCTGGGCAACATCTGCGGCAGAACAAGGAGTAGAAGCCGAGAAAGGGACGAGAAAAGACGGGACAATTAGACGATGGCGAGGACCTCGATCCAGTGACCAGCGCCAGTCTGCAGAAGTAGTGCAGACGGGAATTGGGAGAGGCGACGGGACCTGACGGGCGAGAAATGGTGACGGACGGGGAAGACGGGGGACAGCAAGGAGGGAGAGAAAGGTACGTATCGGCCAAGGTGGGCTGGGCCTGGGACCTGGAGACGAGCTGGAGACTCTGCCCAGCGCCCAGCGCCTCAGCGCCCACTGCCCAGCGGTGCTGCCGCCAGCCTGCGAAGCCTGCGCGTGTCTGAGGAAAAAGGGGATACGTACCGAATTATCCGTGCACCGAGGGCTTGGCTCCCATTTGGGGTTGATGCAAAAGCCGCGACTTTTCCTTTGCAATATCGGTGCCGGTGCCACGCCGCCCAGCCTGTGCATGGCATTACACTACATACTACACGATAGAGTGAGCATGGGGAGGGGAAGACGAGTAGCAGCATGGCGTGGCGGCAGTTTGGCATTGTGCACACTCTGTGGCAGACATGTCGACTCCTGCTTCTTACGACTCCGTTTTCCGTATCACCACCGCTGCGAGGTAACCTAACCCTCATCCTCCGTATGCCAGACTTTACTGCGAAATAGAGGAAGAGAGCAAAAAGGAAGTCAGGAGGTTCAGACCGATTACCCACACATTTTACTCTCGGGAGGAAAGTCCCAGGGCCGTTCTTGGCACTAGTCTCAATCAAGGCTTGTGCTTCACCTTTTTCTGGTCGTCGGAAGGGGAATGACGACCGGGGTGGGTTGCTTGTGGACTTGTGGAGAAAGTCGACTGACTGATGCTTCTCCCCGAATTGTACGCGGTATGGGGCATGCCATGTTATTGTTTTCCATTATTGACTTTTTTTTTCTGCTTTGTTCCGTCGTTGGTATCCACGGTAAATCGCCGTCGGGCGGTAGAAAGCATGGAAAACACCACATAGTTGTAGGTACGTAGGTGACGTACGAATTCAAACAATGAAGGGCATGCGCGTCCCGGGGTGGAGGGACCGCACTAAGGCAAGGTACAGAATACCACACGGCGGCAGTCGGCGGGATGGATGGATAGATCCAATGGTGGGTGGATGGCGTTGGCGTTGGCGTTGTTGGCTGTTGGCTTCGACTTCACGTACGGCGGCACGCCACAGTTCGATTGGGTGGTGATTGAGATTTACCACATCCCATCCAGGCACACAGGGTCCATTCCCGGGGGGCAGTCGCAAGACTTGCGGCACCCGACTGCCAACCGTTCCAGCCATCGGCGAGAACTGGGAAATTTGTGGCATTTTTTCTGTTAGTGCTCCGTGGTTAATGGCGCTGAAGGTTCTGGACCTCTCAGTGTTGTCTCACTCCTCAACCACAGGGTTAATCAAAAAGAGACGCCACAAGAGCGGCAGAGGCGCCGTTTTTCAAGGGAACGGCGTCCGCTGCAAACCGCCGCCTCTCCGTTCACCTACGCCTCTTCTCCCTCTGTGCCTCACTGCCTCGCGGTCTCTCGGGCGGTTAGACGGTGCTGTCAGTGTCTGTGACTGACGGAAGAGAACTGTTGCATCTGGTTCGCTGACCACCCGATCCCATTCATCCGTCGCGGCGAACCAACAATGGGGAAAAAGGTCGGATTGTGTGTGCAGATGTACGGCGTGTGTGTGAGAGAGATGGGCTCATGTCATATGGTTGGCTCTCCCCGTCTCTCGGATCATGAAGGTCTCAGTGCCAGCACAAACCTGCGACAATGCGCATCGTTGCTTCTTCTGATTCTAGTAGGTGGTCTTTCCCACGCTTTGTGTTCGTCCGTCTGTCTCAACCCAAAATTTTCACATCTTGGATACCTACCTATTTGCCTCCTTCCTCCACCGGGTGGTTCTGGTTCTTCATTTTTCCATCGTCGTGGCTAAGGTAGATTATCAAGGCAGGAACAAGGGACACTCAGTGGGGGCACCTACCTACCTTACCCCGTAGGTAGGTACCTGCCCTCTGCCTCTCCTTTCTTCCTTCCCCTGGGAAAACTGGCAGGTGTCCCGCCCAGGATCACTGTACGTACCCCAATCAAAAGGTACGTGCTCTCTCACTCGTCACGGAGACTAACCTCGCAATGGGGAAAGCGTCAAGCCGTAGCGGTTCCCCTTTTGGGCGCTGCGGCAGCCAAGCGCGCTTCTCGTTGGCCGTGCCAAGTCAAACAAGGCCGCCCCTCTTATTATTCACCCCCTTGGTCCTGCCCATCCTGGATTGGTAGGCCCTGGCAAAAGTCGATCTTCCCCCCTCCAGGGCTCCGTCGTCCTTTCCTCTCCCCCTTCACTAGCGCCGGTTTCGACCCTGTCATTTCGACTAAATCTGTAACGTCCAAGTCCAGCGCCTCATCGCAGAAAAAAGAAAGAGGGCTCCATTGTCAGCTTTCTCATCGTCGTTGTCGTCGTCGTCGTCTTCGTCCATGGTCGAGGTTCAACTTGGAAAAGGCTCCAGTGCTCCACAGAATGGTCCACGTCGGCTGCCCACGTTGTCCAGTCTCAGTCGCCGTCTCTTCGGAGTTTTACCGTCGAGGTTGCTGTAACCGTACCTTATCTCAGCAACCATCTGTGTCTTACAGCCCTTTTCTCGCCTTTTCCTTGCTTGTTGCTATCCGCGACTCGCCGTTTGCTTGTCCCAGTATCAAATTGTACGCACTCTCTAGCAGCTTGTCCGGACCCAATTATTCAGCCGGTTTTGTCCCGTCACGTCTCGAGACCACGGCCATCCCGGTCTGGCTCTAGCTGCAAAGCCCCCTTACCTCAGCTTTGCTGCCAGGCTAGGGCAGATGGCCTTGAAGCTGTCAAGTCAAGCACCCTGTCAGGCCTCGCGAACTTTGTCCGTATGGACCTGTGGCAAGGTGTCTATCAGTCCCTCGACCCTGAACCTGCCTGCTTGCTCAGCAGTCAACTTAGACCGCTGAGCAGTCCAGATTCTCGACCTTGACCCTCCCTCTTGTGAATCGTATACCCTCCGCATAGCATCGCTCGAGTCGATGCCCTCATCAAATAGTCTTGGGCTTCTTGGCCTTGTCTCCGTCAGCGCTCTCGTGAGTCTGGTCGAGACTCTCCTCGTCAGCAAATGTCTTGACTCTACGCTATACCTCTGGGCATGCGTCGTCCATATCCCCCTCCTTTCTCCTCATATTGTACAAACTTCAGAGTCTCTGATATACAAATCTCCAAACTTGTGCAACCCTCATAATCGTACTCTCCCAAGTTCCAACCCCGGGCCATGCTTGTAAACCCAGGGATGCAGCCATCATGTACAGATACGCTTTGCATCTGCAGCCTTCACTTTTTCAACCCGTCATCCAGTCCTCTTCTCCTGTCCCTACTGTACCTCTCCCCACCCCCTCGAGCTTCATCATGTCTCTTATTCGTGAGGTCCCCCGTCATCGACTGGTCCAGTTTGTACCCACTCACCCCCGGGGGGCTGAAGCTTTTTTAATCTCGTCAACCATCATGACGATGTCGCCGCTGTCAGTACCGACTGCCGTGTGCCGTCCCCTCTTTCTTGGCATCCCTGACCTCCCATGTGCTTTTCTCTTGCTGTCCCTCTCATCCGTACACTGGCAACGGTACGACTGAGCATTAGCAAACCTACCTTAAATCCATCTACTCCGAGGCACCTAGCACGGGACGGGGGGCGTCAGGGCGATGCACGGAGGCCCCGATCTTGACGTGAGCATAACTCAACTTACCTCTCACCACTCGTGAGTTGCGGCTTGGCCAACACGGTGTAACGGTAAAGGCCATGCGCCGTGATGCTTTCCACTCCTTCCCTCACGACAAATAACAGACACCGACTGGCTAATCGACGACGTCAATGTAACACAACGTGTGCATCTTGGCCTGCTTAGCCACCGTCAAACAATGGACTCGCAGTGTGTAGATATCCCCATTCAATGCGCAAGAGGCAAGGCCGATCCTCATCAGTACATGCCGCGTCCAAAGGATTAGGCGTCATGCAGAAACGTAAACAATTCCAACGCCGCCGTCTCTTCAGTGACGTTTGGTCGAATGCGACCCTCGAGGAGGTCCTTCGCCCAAGCTCACGAAACCGTTGAAACCGTGCCCTCCCCTCCCTCCCTCTCCCCGAGCCTGGGGTTAGACTTGGGATTGTCGCGGGAGATTGACGGACGTCTGTGGTATCGTTTTGGCATGCCGTGGAAATCGAAAGGGCAATGCGGAGAACGGACCAGAAGAGCGAGCCCAGGCCGGCCGTGGTCGTCGTTGTCGTCCGAGTTGCAA